GAACTGTAGGGATTTGGCTTTGAAAATAAAGTTCCTGCATTCAAGAAACTTATACTCGGGTAATTTAATTCTGCTAATTTGCTTAAATTCTTTAATACTACACTGATATATTTACACTCGTTTTCTTTCTTTTTTTTTTTTTTTTTTGAGAGGTTTTTGCTAAAGGGCACATGCGCTTGCCAGAGACAGAGACAAACAGAGAGACAGAAAGTGAGAAATCACCCCCCAGGGGAGTTGGCCACGCCGCAATCCCTTCTCCGTTCTCCTCTTGGGATCTTGGGCACACATGCACACGCACCCGGTGTGAGTTTAAGCCACCGGGTCCAGGACTCGAACCAGGGTCAACTACGTGGTAGTCCAGCAACATAGCCATTACACTAATTGCTGGTCCCTACACTCGTTTTCTTTATGTTTGAGTGTAAAAGCTTGTACTTTCAGGTTTTTTTTCTTTTGCCATAGAAATGGCAAAAAAGCAAAAACAAAAAATCAGGTGCTCACCAGAGAGACAAAAAAATCACCCCTGGGAGTTGACCACGGTGCAATCCTTGGTCCTCCATTCTTGTCCTCTTGGGTTTTGGGGTACACACTGCACACCCATCTAGCCTGTTCTTCAATCTGCTGGGTCTGGGGCTTAAACCACACAGTTGGCCTTGTGCAGTCCAGTGCCTTCACCACCGTACTATCTGATGGCCCAAAGCTTGTACTTTTTAGGTTTATACCATAGGGCATGTGCACTTGCTGGAGACATACAATGAGAAGGAAAGTGAGAAATCACCCCTCAGAGGAATGCCCATGTTGTAATCCCTTCTCTGTCCTCCTCTTGGGATTTTGGGTATTGCACACACACACATGCCTGGGAGATTTTTTTCAAGCCACGGGGTCCAGGACTCAAACCACATTCAGTCCTGTAAAAGTCCAGCTTCTTAACTACTACATCACCTGCTGACTCCTCAAATCTTGTACTTTTTTTTTCCCCTTTTTTTAGAGAGGTTTTTGCTATATGGCATGTGTACTCACCAGAGAGACGGAAAGTGAGAAATTACTCCCCAGTGGGATGGCCACACTGCGATTCCTTCTCCAGTTTCTTAGGATTTTGGACATGAACGGACGTGCGTGCAGCATGAGTTTCTATGCCAGGGGGACTCGAACCATGGTCGACTACATGGGAGTTCAGCAACATAAACATTAATGCCATCTGCTGGTCCCAAAGCTTATACTTTTTTGTTTTTAAAGAAATATGTATTTAATCCATTTGTTACTATTCTTTTTAAAATTTGACCAGAGACAGAGAAAGAGAGAAGGGGAAAGTGAGAAAGCAAGCAAGCTACCAGGTCCAGGACTCAAATTGTGGTTGGCCATGTGGGAACCCAGCGCTTTTATACTTTTTATATAATCAAGTGTTCTTTTCTTCCACAGGTTTTTTTTGTTTGTTTTTTGTTTTTGTTTGTTTTTAATTTCAAGCGTACAAAGCCCTCCTTTAACATAATTTATCAATGTGCTCTTTTTTTGTTAATATTCTATGGCATTTAATTCAGTTCATCTGGAATATATTTCTTTATATTGTTCGGAGGCAAGCAAGAAAATGGGGCTAGAGCCCCTATTCAAATTGGTTTCTCCTAATTTTTCTCGTGAGTTATGGTAAAATATGACACACATAAGTATAACCTTAGGCTGTGGCTGCACTACAGTCCTCTCTCCTCCAGCCTGACAGATCTTGGGCATTTAGGCTTGCCTGGTATCTTTTAGGCTCACCAGGCTGGCGAGTTGAGCCATGGTTGGCATGTGAGATTAGCCTCTCCTGAGCCATGGAGCCTATCCTTTTTCCTATTAAAAAATAATATCAATAATAATAAATAGCCATGTAACATTTACATAATCTCTTCTCCTACTACACCGTTTTATGCATCTTTATCTTAGTTTTTTTTTTAAAATAAACAAGGATTTATTGTTGAGTTGTCTGCTGTTTAGTTTTCTATTTTATTATATAATTGTTTTGAAAATGACTTCCACTTCATTTAATGGAATTTCTTATAATTTTTGATGGTAGGCCAGCCTGGTGGTGTGGAGGTTAAGGCAGCTGGATCTCACAAAGCTGACTGCATGATGTGAGTCCCAGACCTGGTGGCTTGAAAATCATGCCGTGCACATGTGTGTGTGCCCCAAATCCCAAAAGGAAGATGGAGGAGAAGGGTTTGTGGCTTGGCCATTCTCCTGGGGGGTAATTTCTCACTTTCTCTCTCTGTCTCTGTCTGTCTCCAGGGACCACATGTGCTATGGCAAAAAATATCTCAAAAAATATTGTCAGTTTTTGTATATAGTAATATTTATAAATTGCATAACTACTATGTTTACATTTGAAAAACAGTGATACACATTAAGAGAATAAAGATGGAATAAGTATTATAAAAATAGTTTATCCGTTAACTTTGCAGAAACATTCCATTCTTACTAAAACTACTGTATTCTTAATTTTTAAGTGTTTAAAGTTTCAGACATGTGTAAACATAAATTAGTTTCTCAGGGACAGTATACATGTAATATGTTTTATTATAACTTATATAAGTCTGTATCATGGTCTTGATCTTAACTTTCTGGCACTCTTGTCACTACTCAGTACATGGTCAATTCTTTTGTAATGTGAAGGTTAAAGAACCTGCTTTTTTTTTTCTTTTCTTTGAGAGATAATTTACTATAGGATACATGTGCTTGCCAGAGAGAGAGAAAGTGAGAAATCATCCCCTGGGGGGAATGGTCATTCCACAGTGCCTTCTCCATTCTCCTCTCAGGATTTTGGGCACACATGTACACATGCCCAGTGTGATTTTTTTTTTGAGAGATTTTTTTCGCTTTGGACGCGTGCGCTCGCCAGACAGACATAGAGAGACACAGAGACAGAAAGCGAGAAATCATCCCCCAGAGGGGATGGTCACACCGCAATCCCTTCTCCTCCATTCTCCTCTCGGGATCTTGGGCATGCACGCACACATGCCCGGCATGAGTTTTTAAGCCACCAGGTCCGGGACGTGAACCACGGTCGACTATGTGGGAGTCCAGCGACATAGCCATTACGCTAACTGCTGGTTTCTCCCAGTGTGAATTTGAAGCTGCTGAGTCCAGGACCCCAGCAGCAGTTAACTACCAGGGATTCTAGCTACGTAACCATTACACCAACTGCTGGTCCCATAACTCCCATGCTTTTCACCTGTGCTTGACTTACCTTCCATCTAAGGTTCTTCTGTGGGAACCTTTCAACCATTAGTATAGTTGAGGATAGTTAAGTTAGATAACTAAGAAAAAAAATTTGAGTGATTTTTTTGCTATAGGATGTGTGCACTTGCCAGAGAGACTAAAAAAGACCAAAAGAAAGCAATAAATCATCCCCCTTCCCCCTGGGGGGAATGACCACGCCACAATCCCTTCTCCTCCATTCTCCTCTTGGGATTTTGGGCAAGCACACACACACACATGCCTGGCATGAGTTGTAAGCCACTGGGTCTGGGACTCAAACCGTGGTCAACTACTTGGGAGTCCAGCTAGGTAACTGTTACACCACCTGCTGTCCCAGGTAACTAAATTCTAATTTATATTTATTGGACTTATTTAAGCTGTAGTGTGCTGAGACCAAATGAATGGGTGAGGGCTTCATTGTTAACTTACAGAGTTCTACACTCTACTCTTTCCTCAGAGTACCTGAATAATATGTGTGATTGTGGCCATCTGCTCTACTGACATGTGAATATATACAGTAATTTTTAAGCTAATTTTTATCTCTGGGCAAAATTAAAAGTCCTAACATTTTCTTCCTACAGCCGATTGGATTTCCTTTATGTGCTCTTCTTTAGGGAGACCAGCATTTGATAATGTTGGGTTCCATTTAAAGTTTCTGGATATTGAGAAGAAATTAGACTGGTCCTATTCTAGCAACCCCCAGAGAGTCCTTAAAGTGGTTTTGTTTTTGTTTTTGTTTTTGAATTATTTTTTATTTAACTTTGTTTGTTTATTTAAATTGGGCCAGAGAGAGAGAGAAAGAGAAAGTGAGAAAGCAAGCTGCCAGATCCGAGACTTGAACTATGGTCGGCCATGTGGGAGTCTAGCGCCCTTAACCACCATGCCACATGCCAGCCCCTGAGAGTGTTTTTTAAATTGTAGATGTCGGGGGACCAGCAGTTAGTGTAATGGCTATGTTGTTGGACTCCCATATAGCCGACCACGGTTTAAGTCCCGGACCCAGTGGCTTATACTCACACCGGGTACGTGTGCATGCATGCCCAAGATCCCTCCCAAGAGGAGAATGGAGGAGAAGGGATTGTGGTGTGGCCATTCCCCCAGGGGGGTGATTTCTCATTTTCTGTCTCTCTGTCTTTCTGGTGAGCACATGCGCCCTATAGCAAAAACCTCTCAAAAAAAAAAAAAAATTGTAGATATCGAGGGCCCAGCAGGTGCCATGATGGTTGAGACACTGGACTCCCACTTTGGCTGACTGGTTTAAGTTCCATACCTGGAGGCTTGCTTTTTTACTTTCTCTTCCTGTCTGGTGAGTGCATGTGCCTTACAGCTAATTGAATAATAATAATAATAATAAATAACTTTTAAAAATTGTAGATACTGGGACTAGCAGATAGTGTGATCGTTATGTTTCTGGATTCCCACATGGGTGACCACTGTTCAAGTCCTGGACCCGGCAACTTCAAACTCGTGCCGGACTTGTGTGTGTGGTTGCCTAAATTCCTGAGAAATATATATGTATGTACATATATATATACACACGTGTGTGTGTATGTAGATATCTTGGGTTCAGAGTTCTAAGGATGTGAAAATAAATGTTTCAGTTTGTCTTTTAATTTTAATGCTATGTTCTTTATATATCAGTAGAGATCTTATTAAAGGAATTACATTTTGTTGAGCTAACTTAATAATCTAAAAAAGTTATAGAGGCTAGTGAAATGTGCATTGAATTGTTACTGATCATGGTTATAAAACCTTATGCTATGTTATCACAGCTGTTTGAGATGGAGAACGTTTTTACTGTTTCATCAGATCCTCATCCCCCTCCTGCAACCCCTTCTTCACTTTCTTTACCTTTATCTTCATCTTCTACCTCATCTGGGACTAAAAAACAAAAGAGGACCCCCACATATCAGAGATCTGTAAGTCAGGAAAGCAGTAATTCCAGTTTATTTTGCTTTGTATTAGAGCATGATTTAGGAGTCATTAAGTTCGGTTGAAATGCCTTGCCGACTGACTTTCTAACTTCTCTAAGCATTTCTTTCACCCTAAATCTTAAAAGATAACTTTAGTAGTTTGGGACCTTAGTGCTCAAAGTGTGGTCCAAAATCAGTATTGATACCACTTTGGATCTCATTAGAAAAGGAAATCTCAAGTCCCTATCCCCACCAAGCCTATTTTTATAAACCAAATCACCAGGTAACTTAAATTTGAGAAGCCCTAGTTTGGAGCCTGAACTGTAAGGTAGACAATCTTGGTTTGAATCTTCTACCATTTGACTTTGACAAATTATTTAACCTCTCTCTCTGTGTCTGTTTCCTCATTGGTTAAATGGGAATAATCTAATACTTTCTTACAGATCTTTGCAAAAATAAAAATGAGTTAGTACATACTAACAGTTGAACTCTGGCTAGCATGAAAGAGTTAGAACTCAACCACTTACAGGGCCAGTAGATAGTGTAATAGTTATGTTGCTGGGCTCCTATGTAGTCAACTGTGGTTCGAGTCCCGGACCCAGTGGCTAAAAACTCATGCTGGGTGTGTGTCATGCATGCCCAAAATCCCCAGTGGAAGATGGAGGAGAAGGGATTTTGATGTGGCTATCTGCCCCCACCATCCCCCCTGCTGGGGTGGGTGATTTCTCACTTTCTGTGTCTCTCTCCTCTGTCTCTGGCAAGCACGCGCATCCTGTAAGCAAAAATCTCTCTCTAGAAAAAGAAGAACTTAACCACTTACAAGTGTAGTAGTTTTGATTTGTGTGATTTGACCATCCTATGTACTGTTTAACTCATCTTAATACTTTGGTTGATTTTCCTAACATTTTAGTTATTTTTTCCTTATGAAAATATATCCTTTTGATCAATAATGCCCAGTATCACAATAAAAATGTTTATATATCAAATTTATAATAAAAAGATCTTAAACTAATTACAAACATTGGGAAATGTTGTTACCAAAGTAAATTGTGGACCCAGTCTTTACTAGAGACTTTGTCCTTTTTTATATTTCATTTACACTTATACAATAATACGTTTTTATGGTTTTGTTCAAGGTAAAATGACATATCCAATGTGATAGTATTCATGAGCTAAACAGTTTCCATTATATTGCATTTAGATGGCTCCTCTATCATTAAAAATATTTTCCTTTATTTGATCATAGAAACAAATCATAGTCATTAAAGATTTTATCTCTAGGAAAAAAGTATTTCGTTCAGATGAAAAGATTTCTTTAAGTAAACCAATGAAGTGATGCAACATTTTTTAAAAGAATTATTTTATTTTATTTAACTTTATTTTTTTTCATTTGTTTTAATTTGACCAGAGAGGGTAAGCAAAAATCTCTCTCTAGAAAAAGAAGAACTTAACCACTTACAAGTGTAGTAGTTTTGATTTGTGTGATTTGACCATCCTATGTACTGTTTAACTCATCTTAATACTTTGGTTGATTTTCCTAACATTTTAGTTATTTTTTCCTTATGAAAATATATCCTTTTGATCAATAATGCCCAGTATCACAATAAAAATGTTTATATATCAAATTTATAATAAAAAGATCTTAAACTAATTACAAACATTGGGAAATGTTGTTACCAAAGTAAATTGTGGACCCAGTCTTTACTAGAGACTTTGTCCTTTTTTATATTTCATTTACACTTATACAATAATACGTTTTTATGGTTTTGTTCAAGGTAAAATGACATATCCAATGTGATAGTATTCATGAGCTAAACAGTTTCCATTATATTGCATTTAGATGGCTCCTCTATCATTAAAAATATTTTCCTTTATTTGATCATAGAAACAAATCATAGTCATTAAAGATTTTATCTCTAGGAAAAAAGTATTTCGTTCAGATGAAAAGATTTCTTTAAGTAAACCAATGAAGTGATGCAACATTTTTTAAAAGAATTATTTTATTTTATTTAACTTTATTTTTTTTCATTTGTTTTAATTTGACCAGAGAGGGACAGCGTGAGAGTGAGAAAGTAAGCCACCAGGTCCAGGGCTCAAACCGCAGTTGGTCATATGGAGTCCAGCACCACCTGCGGGCCCTAAGTGATTCAGTGTTTTTTGAAAGGAAAAATTTCTGCTCTCTTAGAATTTTTGTCTTAGCAGTTTTCTAATTCATTGTTTTGGTTTATATTCCATTAAAAAACTTAAGCTTAAGCGCATATTACTGTGAAATTAATTCTTGCATGGAAGTTTTATTAATCTCTACTAACTTTATGCTGTTCAGATGCATGGCTTACCAAATAGTGTGAAGGTGTCTATTTAGTTTCAAAATAGTTGTTAATAAATTTCTTAAGGAAGTCTTGTTAGTTTTGAGTTGCCATCTCTTGAATGTTAATTAACCTGTTTTGAAATAGATGTTTTAGTAATTTAAAGGTAACATAAATACTTTCACTAATGTAATTACTTTACCTTAATAGTAAACTCCACAAATTCTGTTCTGTCTGGTAAGTGAACATTCTGTCATGAATGGGAGTAGTTCTCCAAAATAATTATTTCCTCCGAAATGTTTTATTAGTTCAATCAGTATTTCAATAATAAGCTCATAATCTTTTCCCTATCTATTTTACCTTTCCACCCCTTTTATATTGATGATTTAGTGATTTGTCAGTTACTTAATATGCTTTGGAGGTATTGTATAGACCTGTATGCATTTTTCTTTCTCTTTTTAAACAGATGAGCTTTGATCCAAACCTTCTCCATAACAATGGACACAATGGGTACCCCAATGGTACTTCAGCAGCACTGCGTGAAACTGGGGTTATTGAAAAACTATTAACCTCTTATGGATTTATTCAGTGTTCAGAACGTCAAGCTAGACTTTTCTTCCACTGTTCACAGTATAATGGCAACCTACAAGACTTAAAAGTAGGAGGTAATCTGTCGGTTCTCCTTTTAAAGAATAATCTCAGAATTTCTCTTGCCTATCATTTTGTTTATTGAATGTGTTTTAGTCAGAGAATAAGAATACAGTGTAAAAAATCAGAATCCTAATTTCTATTATACTTTTATCTTTTTGAGGAATGAAAGACTATATCTTCAAGTGTTTTTATAATAGACGGAAGATTTAATTTTTGTTTACTCTAATGATGACTGCTTATCTGCACTACAAAAAATAGTCCTTGGTAAAATAATCACATGTAACACTACATAAGTTATTTTCACTGGCTTAAGATCGATATACACAGACTTATGGAAACTCATCTTGGCTGGTGCTGTATAAATCACTGTGACTTGTGAAAATATTTGACTTTTAAGTATTTTTTTTCTTTGAGAAGAGATTTTTGCATGAGACAGAAAGTGATAAATCGCCCACTAGAGGGGATGACCATGCTTAACCAATATGCCACCTGCTGGCTTTGAGGTCTCTATGTATTTTTTTTTTTAAATATGTTTGATAGGGACCAGCGTATTGTGTAATGCTTATATTGCTGGACTCCCACATGGCCAACCTTGGTTCAAGTCCCATAACCACTGGCTTGAAACTCATGCCAGGTGCTTTTGAGTATACGCCCAAAATTCCAAGAGGAGAATTGAGGAGAAGGGATTGTGGCATGGCCATCCCTGGGGGTGGGACTGGGGGGCGAGGGGGGAGTATGTGATTTCTCACTTTCTGTCTCTCTGTGTCTCCAGCGATCATACATTCCCTGTATCAAAATTCTCTCTTAATAAAAGGCATATTTTGTATGTGTATGAATATATCAGAACAATAACAAGTGCTGTAAGTATGTGCTATAGGAGCTTATTTTTGTTAATCTTCCTAGCAGCCCTGTATCTAAAGAATCACTCTTGTTTTATAGATGAGAAAACTGAGGTATAGAGAGGTTTAAAAAAAAAACTTATAAAAGATTATGACCATTATATTACCACACTTAGAGTATGTATAAATGCTATGAAAATTAAGACATAAGATAAAAAGTTTATGAGGAGATGGAATTAAAAATACAGGTTTTTTGGTGCGAAGAAATAGAAATCCATGAATAGGTTTTTCATTATGTGCATTTTCCATGAACTTTTTGAAGACCACCTCATATAGCTATGTTCATAAAAGGCAGTGGTTCTGAAACATCAGGGTGTATGTATCAAATACCAGGAAGGTTTGTTTAAAGATTACTGTATTTGATCTTGAGTTTGTTTTTGATTAGGTCTGGAGTTGAGGCCCAAGAGTTTGATTTTCTGCTAGGCTCCCAGGTGATATTAAGGCCGCTGGTCCAGGGACTATCACACTTGGAGATCCAATGATCTGAGGCAGCTGAAGGGCTACATTATGTATACCATGGAAGTGTGAGATACCATTTTGAAAAATTTAGTCCAACAAATACAACACTCTCTTTATTTTAGATGATGTTGAATTTGAAGTATCATCTGATCGGCGGACTGGGAAACCAATTGCTATTAAACTTGTGAAGATAAAACCAGAAATCCTCCCTGAAGAAAGAATGAATGGACAAGTTAGTGACTTTGATGCTTTGTGTTTTCTTAGGGCCCTGCATTTGCATTATCTTTCACATTAGAAAAAGGAAGATTCTACCCATCTCCTCCCTTTGCACGCAAGAGAGCTATAGTATATAAAGATTAACTATTTTAAAATTAAATCAGAAGCACTGGCATTTCTTGATCTGAAACAAAAATTTGGTCAAGACTCACTTAGGGTTTTTACATACAACCCTAAATCTATACTTACAGTCAATTTAGGTACTGTAAGTTTGAAACTTGGCAGCATGACATCCTCTGTGGATCAAATTAGAATGCATCCCTGTATATAGTATAGAGGATATTAAAATTTAGTTTATATTGCACAGTGCTGCTCCTGAAATGATTAGCAATGGAAATTTTTTTTTTTTTGACTGGTAGGTTGTGTGCGCTGTTCCTCACAACTTAGAGAGTAAATCTCCAGCTGCCCCGGGTCAGAGTCCAACAGGGAGTGTATGCTACGAACGTAATGGGGTAAACTTGTGTATTTTTCTTAAACCTTTGCCTGATCCACCATGTGATCTATAAGCGTACTTTAAAATTCAGAATAAAAAAAGTAAGCTGCAGTTGCTAAAATCAGTTTTAAACTTGGTTTCTAAAAGGCTTCAAGTGCAGCATAATCAAAAAATTTAAAAAGCAAAAAAATTCAGAGGACTACCAAGTGTCTTAGTTTGCCCAAGTGTGACCTTAGTTAGAACTTTAAGGTAAAATGTCCTTTTTAATCACTTTTTGGGGGTTGTGGGGGGGGTTTTTTTTTTTCCTGGTTCCTTTTAAGCACTAACTCCAGTGTTTTTGTTTGGAATGCCTTATATAAAAATTGTCTTTTTGAAATGTACTACAGTCTCTGGGCAAATGCTTCCACATGTGTAAACTTTTTGAAATTGAATTGCTGCTCAGCTGTGGACTCGCAGAAGTCATCAGCACCATGGAGGGGAAGTGTGTGTTCATGTGAATAAGACAACTTATTTGTCATAAATCACTTAATTTTAAGAAATTTGGCTTAAAATGCCAGTATATAAGAGGTATTTAAGTAAATAAGTCACAGTATAAAGTTAGTATGCATCCTGCCAAAATAGTCATAATAATTTATTAATTCACAGGAAGTGTTTTATCTGACTTATACTCCTGAAGATGTCGAAGGAAACGTTCAGCTGGAAACAGGAGATAAAATAAACTTTGTAATTGATAACAATAAACAGTAAGTTCTTTAAAAACTTTTTCCCACCTAAGTGATTCTTTATGTGTTTGGGTTATTTGTTTGTTTGTTTGTTTTTGGAGAGGTTTTGCTATAGGGCGCATGCGCTCGCCAGAAAGACAGAGACAAAGACAGAAAGCGAGAAATCACCCCCCCAGGGGGGATGGCCACGCCGCAATCCCTTCTCCTCCGGTGTCCTCTTGGGATCTTGGGCACACCCGCACCCGGCGTGCGTGTAAGCCACCGGGTCGGGGACTTGAACCATGGTCGACTATGTGGGAGTCCAGCAACATAGCCATTACACTAACTGCTGGTCCCTGTTTGGGTTTTTTGTTTGTTTGTTTGTTTTTTTACATTAAAAAATAGACAATGATTTATTCTTCAGCTAAGTATTTGAAAGTCCAGTATTCTACCATAGGCACTGTGCTGTGTGTCAGAAGTAGAAGATAATCGAAACAGTTTTTAAGGAGCTGTACTAGGGAACAGTGAAGATTATGCAAAAGCAGTCATGATTGAATTAAGTTCTAAGAAAAAGGTATGAAGTCAGTATAGAGATGAAAAAGAGCATTCAGGTTAGAGAAAGTGTCATGGCATGTTTTGGGAAATAGCCAGAAGTTTAAGTATATTGAATTGACTAGACCTTGGGAAGATGATGCTTGAGCTTTGTCAAATGGTCATAGGAATCTTTCAAGGGTTTAAAATAAAGTGGTAAAAATATTGGGTTGTCAGAAAAGTCATGACATGCTTTTATATGCAAAGATGTGTCATGACTTCTCCAACAGTCTGGTAGTTTATATCTTTGGAAGTGGTGGCACTATAGACTAGAATCAGTAGTGTGACAGATAATAGGAAAGATGAAGGCCTAATACAGATAGGACAAGGGTAGTAGGTGACGTCATGTCACACTGGGAAGATAAAATCTTTAAGCTTAACTTTGACTTGATAGATTGGGATTAAAGGGTGTCTCATGCTGTTTTTATTTTGTTGGCCTAGACTACTGAGCAGATGGTAGTACTATTGACTGGACTAAGGAATTATAGGATAGGAGCAAGTATTAAGGGTGAGAGAAGAATTAGACTTGTTTTGGCAAATTGAGTTTGAAGTGTTTGATATGTGTGGTAGGAAATATCAAATGTACCAGTTGCATATAAGCACTGAGAGTTAGAAGATAGTAATGGACAGGAAATATGTTTCTAGAATTTACAAGCATAAGAAGTGAAGCAGAGTGCCAGTCAAAGCTCAGGAAGAATTATTTTTATTTTGGAGTGGGAGAGATGAGACGGGAAAGCAAAGAAGGAAGTTTAAGTTGGCGAAAATGCTAGGAATGCAGGTTTCAGCAGCATGTAGAAGAAAAAATTGCAACATATGTGCAGAACTATTTGCCCTGAACCTATCTCTTGCAAGCTAGAGGGAATCAGACTGGTTTGTGGCTATGGATAATGTTAGTTGTAGTCTGAAGGCCTCAGTTTAGTCTGAAATCGCAAACAAGAGGATAGGGCTTGAGTTGGAGAAGGGTGCCACTAAATGAGCTTCATGCAACCTTTGTTAGGGTAATTTTGTGCCAACCACTTATACTATGTACTTTGTATATAGTTGTCAATCATCAGATAACTATCTTCACCTATAAAGAGAGTATAAATTCCCAGTTATTTGCCTAATTATATATTGTTTTTAACTAGTATGCATATAAATCCCCATTCTGACTCAATGTCTTTACACTTCAGTAATTTACAAAGGCAAGTAGAATTTGTCTATTGTCTTTGTTAGTCTGTTAAATTTTTGAAATATGTAGCATAGTACCATTTGTCCATGAAGAATTAAGAGGGAAAGAATTGGTTGGTCGCCATCTCTTCTCTTAAAACTCATGCCAACAATACTGTTGTATCATATTTGCCAGTGCTTTAGAAAGTTCATAGAGAGGTGGAATATAAGTATATGAGCTTATTTGGGTATGGAACATTTTGCAATCATTTGTAATTTTTTTAATATGCATTTTTTCATAATTATTTTGAAGACCCCCCTCTTACGATCTATACTGCCTTTAAAACAAAATCAAATTTACAGTGCTGCTACTCAGAAGTGGAGACAATATAACAACATGTAATGTCTAACTAGTTTCAGTTCTCCAAAGGACGTGAATATCATTTTTTTAAAAGAGCACATATCCTAAAGTGACTGCATTTAACTTAACTTTCATATATGACTGTTTAATCAGAAAAAAAATTCATTGGTAACTACTAAATACAATATTCATTGAGAACAGCGACCATTTCTTACTCATTTTTGGTATCACCAAATAATACCTATTCAGTGTCTATTCAGTGAACAACCTTTCTAAAACTTGAATTTCCCACCTTTGGCATTCAATTTGAGGCTTTATTTCAGTTCTTTTGAAATAACAAAGCAGTAAAGCACACTGTACCCAAGTATAAGTTGTAAAAACAAGTCTTTCAACAGTTCAAGAGAAAAATTATCTATGTGTGTGTGCCAGATTTGAGCATTTGAATAAAAATCCTTTGCATATGAAACTATATGAATAGGGTTAAATGTCATAAACCTTATGTTTGTTCTTAGGGATGACATAGAATTTTTGAAGTCCCAGAAAACTAGTTTCTATAAACTCATCATAGTTAACCCAGCCAGTACATTTTTACCCCCTCTGATTGCTGCCCTCATCTCTCCTCCTTTCTAGTACTGGTGCTGTAAGTGCTCGGAACATTATGCTGTTGAAGAAGAAACAAGCACGCTGTCAAGGAGTAGTTTGTGCCATGAAGGTATCAACAAACTACAGAAACTTGAGCTTTTTCCTTTGACTCATTTAATTCTTTTGTACTTCAAACTCCAGTCTTGTTTTTCTTCTTTGTCTTCCCCTTTAAATGTATTGCCTATTAACATCAAAAGAAATCTCTTAAAATTTCTTGTTTGGTAATTCATTATGGTCTTTAAAATGGATTATTTTTTCAATAATAGTAATAAACTTTACCAAATTATATTATTTTGAGTGTAGTGTAATTTTTAAAAGGGCTTATTGATACCCTGGCTTTTGACAGAAAGTGGATTAATGTGGAAGATTTACTGCTTAGTGAAGAAAGCCAGGCTATGAAGGAGAGACATTGTATGTCTCCACTTAATATATACTAAGTATCTAAATTCTATGGCTGAAATTGAATGATTAAAGGTTATAAAAATTTAGTAAATGGTATAAATACCAGATACAGTGTGGAAAGAGGGCGGGTGAAGGAGTAGAGTTTGAGGAAGGACATTAAGGAGAAAAATAGAGAGGCAGGGCATTATGGGACAAAGAAATGGATTATTATCTATTGAAGATAACTTTATAGTATTGTCAACTGGATTGGTGAGAAATGTACACATGGTGGAATATTCACTTTGTAAGCTAAGTAACATGAGCTTGAACGTATAAAAGAAATTGAAATTAAAAAAATGTTTAATGCTTACTGATTTTAAGTTGTAATCATAAATTCGTACACTGTGTAATAATGTTCTTGGCTTTTGGGGGGGTTGTTTCGTTTTAGGAGGCGTTTGGCTTTATTGAGAGAGGTGATGTTGTAAAAGAAATATTCTTTCACTATAGTGAATTTAAGGGTGACCTTGAAGCCTTACAGCCTGGAGATGATGTGGAATTCACAATCAAGGACAGAAATGTAAGATAGTTGACTGACTTGAATTTTGGCCTTTTAAGGTCAGCAATGGATTATATTTTTAGGAAACAACTTAAAATTGTGATTTTTGTCTCCGTTCCTTTTGATTAGGGTAAAGAAGTTGCAACAGATGTCAGACTATTGCCTCAAGGAACCGTCATTTTTGAAGATATCAGCATTGAACATTTTGAAGGAACTGTAACCAAAGTTATCCCAAAAGTACCCAGTAAAAATCAGGTAAATAGTCTTTTTCAGGAGAGTCTTCCTTTCCCTTATCAATAATACTGTGGTATGGTTTACCTAAATGTTAATCCAGGGACCAGACGACATAATGATTAAGTAGCTGGACTTCCGCATAGTCAACAACAGTTTGAGTCCCAAACTCAACAGCTTAAAACTCACGCTGAGTGCATATGTGTGTGTGCCCAAAAATCCCGAGAGGAGAATGGAGGAGAAGGGATTGTGGCATGGCCATCTCCCCTGGGGGGCAGTTTCTGACTTTCTGTCTCTGTGTCTCTTCAGCAAGTACACACATCCTAAAGCAAAAATCTCTGTCTTTAAAAAAGAAAAAAGTTAATCCATTCAGTTAATGTGATTATATGATTGTAGGACAATTAAATATTCTTGAAATGTATAATTAAATGGGAAAGTGCTGATTAATATATTCATAAATATCTTTTTTTTATCGGGTGATAAGAAAAGATCAGAAGAAATGCTGGTTAAATGGGGAAAAACTGATTGGATTGGACTGCAGTTTGTTTCCTTCTCTCTAACCCTTCTGATTTGTTTCTTTTATGGGGGGGGGGCGGTTAGGAGACAGGTGATGTCATTGCTGAGGAAATGTGAAATACAAAAGACTGAAATGGCTATTCCCTAAAATTTGTTGGTACCAGAGTGCAGGGATTAACTACAGTGTTACAATTTTATAGTTGAGTCATGGGATCCTAGAACATTTGTATATATATTGTCAACACCTCTTTTTCCTCTGTGGAATTCTTTTTTTGTTATGTGTTGTTCTTATTTGGCTTAGAACTAGAAAGGATGAGAAATCTCCAGCTAAAATTGTTTTTCCTTCTCATCAGAATGACCCATTGCCGGGACGCATCAAAGTTGACTTTGTGATTCCTAAAGAACTTCCTTTTGGAGACAAAGACACAAAATCCAAGGTGACCCTACTGGAAGGTGACCATGTTAGGTTTAATATTTCAACAGACCGACGTGACAAATTAGAACGAGCAACCAACATAGAAGTTCTAACAAATACATTTCAGTTCACTAATGAAGCCAGAGAAATGGTAAGTGCTAGATATTTTTGGATATGTATCTAATATGGGAAGGGATAATGTTATATTCCAGTTGGTATGACTAAATTGAGAATTCTTTTTAAGGACCAAATTGAGTAGTTTACCTTGTTAAGGTGATTAAGAACTGTAGACGATTGAGTCAGTCTGAATTTGCCATTTATCTCTGCCAGTTATCATGAAAATATATGTGAAGTTTTTAGAATAGGAATTTGGACAGCATGATTTCAAAGATCTTCTGAGAGTCAGTGATTTTTCTGGTCCTTTTAAATATAAAGAGTGAGAAGATTCAAGGCCATCATTGTAGAGAATTTTCCCAAACTATTCTCTACAGATATTTAAATACTGAACAGACAAATAAATAGGTTTTGTTTTCTTTTGTCTTATGGCAGAATTTATAAATTCTTTTTTAAAAAAGAATTATTTTATTTAACGTTATTTATTTATTTTAATTTGACCAGAGAGGGACACAGAGAGAGAGAGAGCACAAGAACAAGCCTTCAGGACTGGGACTCGAACCACGGTCCGCCGAGAGAGAGCGAGGGTGAGAGAAAGAGAGAGAACAGGCCACCAGATCCAAGATTCAAACCATGGTCAGCCATGTGGGAGTCCAGCTCCCTTAACCACCACACCACCTGCTGGCCCTGTGTATTCTTTTTAATTGGTATATGTCTTGGAGTGACACATAACTAGAATTGTTTTCAAAACATATTTTATAAAAGTTAGTTTTCATGAACTTCCTCAGATATAATTATGTTTGATTTTCTTTGGGATCAAACCATGCACAGTTTTATATCAAAGTTTTCAGTGAAACTGGGAGTATTCAGTGAAATTTTAAGTTTCTTGAGACTTTTTTTAATCTTTGCCTTTGGAGATCTGATCTTATTGATGCTTTCAACTTTAAAAGTTTGGGGATTCTGAATGTGATTTTAATTTTACTTTTAAAAAATATTTATAGCCGGGCGCGTGTGCGTGCGTGCCCAAGATCCCGAGAGGAGAATGGAGGAGAAGGGATTGCGGCGTGACCATCCCCCCTGGGGGGTGATTTCTCGCTTTCTGTCTCTATGTCTCTCTCTGTCTGTCTGGCGAGCGCACGCGCCCTACAGTGAAAATCTCTCAAAAAAAAAAAAATTTATTTAATTTACCAGAAGGCGAGGCAGAGGGAAAAATAACCTCCAGTGGGGTGCGGTCTTGCTGTAATCTCTTCTGCATTTCTCGACACTGTCAGGATTTTTGACAGATGTGCCTGTTATGCCTTTCAAGCTACCAGAGCTGAAATTTTTTGTTTTGTTTTGTGTTTATTTGTTTTTTGGTTTTTGAGAAGTTTTTGCTATAGGGCGCATGCGCTCGCCAGACAGAGACAGACAGAAAGCAAGAAATCACCCCCCAGGGGGGATGGCCACGCTGCAATCCCTTCTCCTCCATTCTCCTCTTGGGATCTTGAGCACGCACGCACTCGCACCTGGCGTGAATTTTAAGCCATCAGGTCCGGGACGCGAACCACGGTCGACTACATGGGAGCCCAGCGACATAACCATTAGGCTAACTGCTTGTCCCCCAGAGCTGAAATTTAAACTGTAGTCAGCCATGTTGGATCAGGCTCCCCTACCCACCAGGCCACAAACTGACTCTTAATTTTACTTTTTTTTTTTTCTTTTTCTCAGGCAAGATATGGTTTGCTTTATAGTCTGACATATGTAGCTTGGCTACAATCAAGACTTAGCAGAGATTAAATTTCAGAATATTGTTTAGGTTCTTTTCAAAGCTGATATAGAATAATCACCTGTGTGATGTATTTCTCATTGGCAGGTTGATAAATTGTGTTCATTATTTCAGTAAACATTTGAGTGCCTACCATGTTAAAGCATTCTGGATATAATGTCCTCACAAAACTGATAATTTAGTAAGGGGAGAGGGGATGAAGAAGGATTTCCTCTATGTTATTCTTTGGACCTAAATCTTAAATCATTCCCATAACTAAATTTACAAAATTTTTGAGGTAGAGATTATAGTTTCCTTTATTGTTGATATCTGTAGTGTGGTCTGCAGATAATTGAAATTTCTAGGAGTCATATTGTCATTAGGTTTCAACTAATTAAATGTATTAAAAATAATACATTGTGTGCATGTGTTTACATTAAACTATTCCAATTTTTTTCTAGTGCCTGTTTGTCAGGGATAATATCTGAGGAGTCTCAGAAAATTGCTGAGGTTATATCACTTAACTGAAAGTTTGTATTTAAGTAGGGGGGGAAAAGTATGAATAGTGTTAGGTCATTAATAGAGAAAATTCCTAATGAATTTAACTTGATAAGCTTCACAGCCACTGAAAGAATTATTTGGGTTTTAGGGTGTGATTGCTGCCATGAGAGATGGTTTTGGTTTCATCAAGTGTGTGGATCGTGATGCTCGTATGTTCTTCCACTTCAGTGAAATTCTGGATGGGAACCAGCTCCACATTGCAGATGAAGTAGAGTTTACTGTGGTTCCTGTGAGTAGTTTTTGAGAAAAGTTTGAGGCAGGGAGGTTTTGATGTTTTCAGTTTAAAGTTAACTTTGTTTTATGATTTGTAGGATATGCTTTCTGCCCAAAGAAATCATGCAATTAGGATTAAAAAACTTCCCAAGGGCACGGTTTCATTCCATTCTCATTCAGATCATCGTTTTCTGGGCACTGTAGAAAAAGAAGCCACTTTTTCCAATCCTAAAACCACTAGCCCAAATAAAGGCAAAGAGAAGGTAAGTTTTATATGATCAGAATGATGTTTGTAATTGTTAATTTCTCCTCTACCTAAAGGCACATAGATGAGTCCACATAGTGATGGAATATGGTCTCTTCAAAATTCTCTACCACTTGGGAACCAGCAGTTAGCGTAATGGCTATGTCGCTGGACTCCCACGTAGTCGACCGCGGTTCGCGTCCCGGACCCGGTGGCTTAGAACTCACGCCGGGCGCGTGTGTGTGCGTGCCCAAGATCCCAAGAGGAGAATGGAGGAGAAGGGATTGCGGCGTGACCATCCCCCCTGGGGGGTGATTTCTCGCTTTCTGTCTCTATGTCTCTCTCTGTCTGTCTGGCGAGCGCATGCGCCCTATAGCGAAAATCTCTCCAAAAAAAAAAAATTCTCTACCACTTAATAGTGAACCTATTCAAAGCAAGATTTTTTAATGTCTGCATTACTGACATTTTGAGATGGGTAGTAATTACTTTCTGTGTATGAGTGGGATGCTTAGTAATATCTCTGGCCTCTATCCACTAGAGGTCAATATTTACCTCTTCTTTCTACCTCCAGCGAAAAATACCTCCAGACTTTGCCAAATGTCCCTTGGGAGGCAAAAATCACTCCCAGTTGAGAATACCACTCATCTAAAATGATAGTACTTGTCTTTCAAAAAAGTTAAAACTTTCAGTTAGCCAGACTCATTTCACACATTTGAACTCTTGTTTATGGAAAAATTCACTGTGGGGACCAGCAGTTGGTGTAATGGCTATGTCGCTGGACTCCCATGTAGTCAACTGTGGTTCGATTCCTGGATCCAGTGGCTTAACACAGGGCACGTGTGCGTGCATGCCCAAGATCCCGAGAGGACAATAAAAGAGAAGGGATTGCGGCATGGCCATCCCCCCCTAGGGGGTGATTTCTCCCTTTCTGTCTCTTTTTGGCAATCGTACTTGCCCTATAGCAAGAATTTTTTTTTTTCCATTAAAAACAAAAATAAACTTCATTGAATAGGGAATACAGTGTAAAGATGTCTAAGGTGGCTTCTGCTCTCAAATAAGTGAGTTACACTATTTATAGAAATGTATAGAAATCGTGTAACATAAAAGATATTTCTATAAATAGTGTAATTCATACAAAATATATTGCCATTGAACATCAGTAGACTTCTCTGGCAGGATCTTTGGATGGTTTCACTAAGGTATTGGTAATTAATAGAGAAAGAGCATTCCTCACAGAGAAGACATTTACATGAGAAAATTTAGAGTTTCCTTAGAAAACAGAATAGTTAGGAAGAAGGGGTGTGTGTGTAAGGATGAGTGATAATAAAGGAAATAAGGACGAAAAATCAGGATACAATTAAATTGGAAGAGTTTGGACCTTGTTCTGTACTTCAAGAAAAAAGAATTCTGTTGGAAAGTGATATTCGGTATGTTTTTGGGAAGATGATAATTGTAGAATAAAACCTAGATGGGATGGAGAAAGACAAAAGAAAAAATGTATTGAGAGGAAATTATTCGGTAATTAAGGTAGTCTTTGAATTAGAGACAGAAATAGATCAGAAAAGGTACATAGGAGTGGGGCCAGCAGGTGGTGAGGTTAAGACGCCAGACTTTTATATGGCCGACATGATTCAAGTCCTGGACCTAGCAGCTTGCTTCTCTTTCTCTCTCTCTCTCTCTCTCTCTCTCTCAGATGCCCTATGGCAAATTATAAGTAAATTATTTTTTAATTTAACCAGAGAGAGAAAGAGAACATGAGAAACCAAGCCACAAGGTCCAGAGCTCAAACCATGGTTGGCCATGTGGGAGTCCAGCACCTCAATCATCATGCCACCTATTGGCCCCCAAATAAACTTCAAATAAAAAATATAAATATTGTAAAAAGAATTTCTACAGCTGGGCTGTTTTTTTTGGGGGGGGGGGAGGTTTTCGCTATAGGGCATGTGCACTCTCCAGACAGAGAGAGACATAGAGACAGAAAGTGAGAAATCACCCCCCATGGGGGATGGTCACGCCACAATCCCTTCTCCTCCATTCTCCTCTTGGGATCTTGGGCACGCACGCACACGCGCCCGGCGTGAGTTTTAAGCCACTAGGGTCCGGGATGCGAACTGCGGTCGACTACATGGGAGTCCAGCGACATAGCCATTACGCTAACTGCTGGTTCCCCAGCTGGGCTGATTTTTTGACTCAAGGGTTAATAAATTGCTTATACTGCTTATTTGTACTTGATTGTTTTCATTGTATTCTAATTTATCTCTTTATTCAGGAGGCCGAGGATGGGATTATTGCTTATGATGATTGTGGGGTGAAACTGACTATCGTTTTTCAAGCCAAGGATGTGGAAGGAGCAACTCCTCCTCAAATAGGAGATAAGGCAAGATAATTCTATCTAGTTCAAAGAGGATTAAGGGTTGTTGTCTTAAACCTAAATGTTGCAAGATCCACTTCTTTAGATTTATCAAACTCTGCTAAAGTATTTTTTGTGTTTAAAGTTAAATACATGAACATATTCCTATTTAAACAGTTTTATTCGATTAAAACGGGGCCTAGCACACTGCTTGTTTAATAAGCTTTTCGGAAGATTAGTTATATAAGCTTTAAGTAAGATATGCTTAAATTCATTAGCTTAAATAGGGTTAGTAATACTAGTGAGAACCTTAAAATATTTACTGAAAACATTATCCAAGTAAAATCACACCAAAGATTTTACATTGCCTTTTTCCCCCCCTCATACTTAGTATTACTGTCTAATATTCATAGATCCTTTTAGAGAAATTAATCATCTATAAGGAGAGCCAATCCATTGCCTATTCATTAAGGGGCTGTACTCCCACACGGCCAACTTCAGTTCACTCTTGGACCTGGCGGCTGGAAACATGCCGGGCACATATGTGTGCGTGCCCAAAATCCCCAGAGGAGAATGGAGGAGAAAGGATTGTGGCATGGCCATCTGCCCTGGAGGGTGATTTCTCACTTTCTGACTGTTTCTTTCTCTTTCTCTTTCTCTTTCTCTTTCTCTTTCTCTTTCTCTTTCTCTTTCTCTCCCCCCCCCCAGCAAGTGCATACGCCCTATAGCTAAAACCTCTCTCTCAAAAAATAAAAGGCATACACACTAAAGGACAGACAAAACTTCATATATTAAGGAAAAGGAAATATGGCATTGAAATGGTAGTTTGGTAAAAATCTGTTCCATTAGAGTAATTACAAAGCAGTTATGGACCCGAAAGCTTGTTCTGAGGGGCGGAGTTATCGACCTCATTTTATAGTTAAAGAGTTTGGTATGGAAGTGATAATGGTATTATTAATGAACATCTTTCCTTTACATAGGTTGAATTCAGTATTAGTGATAAACAGAGGCCCGGACAGCAGATTGCAACTTGTGTGCGACTTTCAGGTCGTAATTCCAATTCCAAGAGGCTTTTGGGTTATGTGGCAACTCTGAAAGATAATTTTGGGTTTATTGAAACAGCCAATCATGATAAGGAAATCTTTTTCCATTACAGGTAAGGAATGCTTTTAGGAACTTCCAGTGTATTACACTTTCTTTCGTGTTATATTTTAAAACGTGTAGTATTGGTTGATTATATTTTTAGAATCCCAGATTTCGTATTGGTAAAATTGAGCTAAGGTCTAGACTAAAGTTAATAATCTACCTCTGTGTAGATAACATGTGAGCAAAAGACAGAAAGCCTTTCTGCTTCAATGAAAGACTATTGTTTTATATGTTGGTAACAAAGAGTAGTGCATTTGGTGTGTAATATAGCACAGCCATGGAGAACATGGGAGAATAAAAACAGTTCTGAGTTCAGGCACTGCAACTTAATAACTATTTAATTTGTATCCAGTGAATTAACCTCTTGATATCTTAGCTGTATGATCTTGAAGCTGGGGATAATGATACCTACTACCTCTTACTTCATAGGGTATTTGGGGGGATTAAATAAGTTCATGTATATAAAGTATATAATGCAGTGTTCAGCATAAGTAAACATGCCATGACTGTTGTTACAGAAGAAATAAGGGCTACTTTCTAAGGTAGTGGCTTATTTAAATGTCATTTTTCCCCTTTCAGTGAGTTCTCTGGTGATGTTGATAGCCTGGAACTGGGGGACATGGTCGAGTACAGCTTGTCCAAAGGCAAGGGCAACAAAGTCAGTGCAGAGAAAGTGAACAAAACACACTCAGGTAAAGAATTCTGACTTCTACTATTTAGCCTATGCTTTGAATGGGAGATAAGAAAGAGGGTGGGGGAGAGACAAGACCCACTTGTTCATTAGTCATTCTCAGGTGTGATCCCAGATCAGCTGCCTCATCTGACTGCTTGTTAGAAATGTAAGTTCTCTGACCATACCCCAGAGAGTGACAGAGTGAGAGAGAGAGACAGTGAGAAGGCAAGCCCCCCAGGTCTGGGATTCAAACTGTGATCAGCCCTGTGGGAGTCCAGGACCCTTAACCACCATGTCACCTGTCGGCCCCCTCAATGTCATCTCCTTTTTAAAAATAACTCATACTTGGTAATAGGGAGAGAGAGAGTTCCTCAAGGAAGCTGTTTGGAGAAGAATGACTCTACATAATGAAAATAATGGGAAATTTATTTTTTTGGAGAGGTTGTTCCTATAGGGTGCATGCTCTCACTAGAAAGACAGAGATAGACAGAAAGTGAGAAGTCACCCCCTAGGGAAAATGACCACACCTAAATCCCTTCTCCATTCTCCTCTTGGGAATCTTGGGCACGCATGCACACACACCCTGTGTGAGTTTAAGCTGCCAGGTCCAGGACCCAAACCTCAGTTGACTACATGGGAGTCCAGTGGCATAGCTAGCTGTTGGTCCCAATAATGGGAAATTTAAATCGATGTTATTTAGGACCTCTAACTTCTAAGCAATCTACAGCTATATTTGGCTTTCATCACACTCCTCAAATAATAACATTCTCTTGGTGAAACAGAGAGAAATGAATAAGACCATTAATTTCAATTCCATAAATATAAGTTGTTTTAGAAACTGGGGCTTCAGCTGTAAAAAAAATAAAATAAAAATCTCCACCTTCATTGAGTCTCTCTTTTTGTGGAAAATAGGAACAGAAAAGAGGAGTACAGTATTGTATTTAGTATGTTTAGAAAGTTAATATATATTGGGACCTGCAGGTGGCATGATGGTTAAGGCCCTGGATACTCCCACATGGCCGACCACGGTTCATGTCCTGGATCTAGTGGCTTCTTTTCTCACTTTCTGTCTCTCTATCAAGTTGAAATAAATGAATAAATAAAATTAAATAAATGATTACTTTTTAAAAAGAAAATAATACATGTTTATAAAGGTAAATTAAGTCACAGAAGTATATTAATATCAGATTTGCCATTTAAGCAGCCAGGGAAGACCTCACAAGAAAGATGACAGTTTGACCCCTGGAAAGGGTGAAAGAACAAAGAAAGATGTTTTAAATACAAATATTTGTAAATTTCCTTAAGAAGTTAAGTTTACTTAGTAAAATCAGCATTTTAATTGTAGTTTAGAAGTAATTAGGGTCAAGTTGACTATTTTAGAAATAGAACTTGGCTTCAGATCCTCCTCCCCATATCAAGAACACCAGGCAACCAACCCATCCTGTGTTAACATTTATACTGGTATTTTTTTGCTTCCTTGCTTATGTGGCAGAATTTAAATACAATTGTCAATGAGAGATACACATGCTTTTGTTTTTTAGTGAATGGCATTACTGAGGAAGCTGATCCCACCATCTACTCTGGGAAAGTCATTCGCCCGCTGAGAAGTGTTGATCCCACACAGACTGAGTACCAAGGAATGATTGAGATTGTGGAGGAAGGTAAGTGCATTCCTGTCAAATTATTTGAACTTTGCTGTACCTTCAGGTGAACATTTAAAGGCTTTAAAATGTGGTGGTATTCCCTGTTTTCAAGTTTCTTAAAAACTGAGTAAAAGTGACCTACCCCTGCTTGGTTTTTATTTTTATACCACTTAGAAATTAGGTCAACCTGGGTTTAAATTGCAAATAAAAAAGTGCTATGAACTAATGACTGATATACGAACAACTAACTCTGAGTTAAATTGAGATAGATTAGACAAAATCTCACTAAAATGATGCAGTTGATGCCGAGTGTGCTTAATAATTTTTTATATCAATAACCAGTTCTGTAAGTACAGTCATGTCACTTAATGACAAAAATACATGTTTCTCAATTGGATATGTTCATCGGTTGTTGGCCATTTTCATCACTGGGCAGTTTTTTGTTGTTTCAGGGACATTGGAGAGCATACTGACACAAACCTAGGTCGTACAACTTACTGTATACTTAGGCTATGTATGGTACTGCCATTGTATATGCAGTCTGTTGTTGACTAGACCATTATTATGTGACACATGACTGTGCTTTTACTTCCTGTGAAAGTTTGCTATATCTATTCCTTAATTGCTAGGGTTTCCTGGGAATCCTATTTCTCATTTATAGGCCAAGAATCTCTACGTTTTTCTCTTTCAGCTTTTTCCTCCCCATCATTAAAGAATACCCTAAATCCTGGTACCACCTTTCCATCACCACCAGAAAGACCTTTTATACAGAAGTCTTTAAAATTTTTTTAGAAAGTGAGGGCCAACAGATGGCATGGTGGTTACGTTACTGGACTCACACATGGCTGACCACAGTTTGGGTCTCAGACCCAGTGGCCAGAAACACTCCCGGCACTTGTGTGTGCATGTGCAAACTCCTAGGAGGATAATGGAGGAGAAAGGATGCGGTGTAGCCACCCACTCTGGGGATGGTTTCTCTCTCTCTCTCTCTCTCTCTCTCTCGTGAGCCCATGAACCCTATGGCAAAAACCTCTTAAAAATTTTTTTATAGAAAATGCATATTTGGAAAAGCTACACAGATGTTTTTTGCAGCAAAATAAACTTGTACTTGAATTCCATTTCTCCATTAATTTTTTGAAGTCCCTTATGGTCTGTGCTTCATAAAGTATGTTTTCCAAAGAAATAAAATAGAAGGGAACTGTGGGTGATTAGGATAGAATTTAAATTGCAAATAAAAAAGTGCTATGAACTAATGACTGATATACGAACAACTAACTCTGAGTTAAATTGAGATAGATTAGACAAAATCTCACTAAAATGATGCAGTTGATGCCGAGTGTGCTTAATAATTTTTTATATCAATAACCAGTTCTGTAAGTACAGTCATGTCACTTAATGACAAAAATACATGTTTCTCAATTGGATATGTTCATCGGTTGTTGGCCATTTTCATCACTGGGCAGTTTTTTGTTGTTTCAGGGACATTGGAGAGCATACTGACACAAACCTAGGTCGTACAACTTACTGTATACTTAGGCTATGTATGGTACTGCCATTGTATATGCAGTCTGTTGTTGACTAGACCATTATTATGTGACACATGACTGTGCTTTTACTTCCTGTGAAAGTTTGCTATATCTATTCCTTAATTGCTAGGGTTTCCTGGGAATCCTATTTCTCATTTATAGGCCAAGAATCTCTACGTTTTTCTCTTTCAGCTTTTTCCTCCCCATCATTAAAGAATACCCTAAATCCTGGTACCACCTTTCCATCACCACCAGAAAGACCTTTTATACAGAAGTCTTTAAAATTTTTTTAGAAAGTGAGGGCCAACAGATGGCATGGTGGTTACGTTACTGGACTCACACATGGCTGACCACAGTTTGGGTCTCAGACCCAGTGGCCAGAAACACTCCTGGCACTTGTGTGTGCATGTGCAAACTCCTAGGAGGATAATGGAGGAGAAAGGATGCGGTGTAGCCACCCACTCTGGGGATGGTTTCTCTCTCTCTCTCTCTCTCTCTCTCTCTCGTGAGCCCATGAACCCTATGGCAAAAACCTCTTAAAAATTTTTTTATAGAAAATGCATATTTGGAAAAGCTACACAGATGTTTTTTGCAGCAAAATAAACTTGTACTTGAATTCCATTTCTCCATTAATTTTTTGAAGTCCCTTATGGTCTGTGCTTCATAAAGTATGTTTTCCAAAGAAATAAAATAGAAGGGAACTGTGGGTGATTAGGATAGAATTACATAATGATGGAGCAGATGACAGGACTTGAAATTTCAGCCATATGGCTTGACTCAATAAAAGGATAAATTCTGTCACCTAGGAGTTAGGATGTAAATTAGGGAAGAGCAAGTCGCTGGGAGAAAGGAAAGAGCTATTATAACCTGTTTGTCTTTTACATGTGGTTGTTCGGAATTTCTTACATATAACTATCCATCATGCCCCAACCTCCAAATATGCATTGACTTCCCAGCAAGGCAGTCTTTTAAAATGAGTGCATGGGGACCAGCAGTTGGCGTAATGGCTATGTCTCTGGACTCCCACGTAGTCAACCGTGGTTCAAGTCTCGGGCCTGATGGCTTCAAATCATGCCGGGCGCATGTGTGTGTGTGCCCAAGATCCTGAGAGGAGAATGGAGGAGAAGGGATTGTGACATGGTCATCCCCTACGGGGGGTGATTTCTCGCTTTCTGTCTGTCTTTATGGCGAACGCACACGCCCCATAGCAAAAAACCCTCCCCCCCCCCCCAAAAAAAAAAAGTTAAGGCAAGGCCAGTAGTTTGAGTGGAGGGTAAGGCAACTGGATCCTACATGGCTAACTGCACGGTTCAAGTCCTGGACTCAGTGGCTTGAAGAAGAAAAAAAAAAAAAAAAAAAAATAAAAATAAATATGTATGTGTATATATATATATATATCATGTACATGTGTGCATGCTTGTCCAGAATCCAAGAGAATAGAATGGAGGAGAAGGAATTGCAGTGTGGCCATCACCTCTGGGGTGAGATTTCTCACTTTCACTCCCCTTCCAAGCACCCCATGAGCACACACGTCCTATTAAAAAAAAAAAAAAAAAAGCCAGGATCCAGCAGGTGGCATGGTGGTTAAGGCACTGGGTTTCCACATGGCTGAAGAGCTGACCTCAGTTGATGTCCATTAATTCAGCACTGGGTATAGGATATAGTCCAAAGAGTTGTGGAAAAGGAATTTTTCTGGGCATCTCTAAGCCTGAAGTTTTCTGGGATTAGATACTACATTTTCCCACTTGTTAAGAACAATGCTTCTGTTTAGGGACACAGCTGTTAAGCATTATAAAACCTTGGAATCAGGTAGACCTAGGGCCAAACACCATTTCCTAGCTGTATAACCTTGGACAAAAGCTAAGTCATTCTTAGCTCAGGTTTTTTGTTTCTAAAATGAGGATAATATTTTCAACCTCATAAGATTTATTGCTGAATCAGTGTAAGTGCTCAGTAAGTGGTAGTTACTGCTCTATCACAAGTTCCAACCAGCTGTCTCTCATTACTCTTCTACCTGATTTGATCTGCTGGAATTACTTCCTGAACTTTTTTTTGTTATTTTTTGTTTGTTTTCTGTTTTGTTTTCCATCTTTACTTACCCTATAATCATTAGAGAATAGATAAAAGCATTTTCAGTTCTGAAGCTCCCACCTCCCTCATTTCCCTCATTTGAATGGATTCACTTGTATGCTGAGTTAACAGCTGAATCTCTTAGGCAATTTTTATCTGTAGCCTGCACCATGCCATTCATTTAAAGAACTTCTCTTGAAACATAGTAACAACCATTCATGTTTATATTGTCTTTGATTGCTTTCTCCCTGACTGGGTTGACTTGGAAGCCTAAACTACTTACCATCTGGCCCTTTTAAGTTTCTGAGCCCTGACTTAGGAGAAGGGAGCCCATTAGTTAGAAGAAACCTGAATCAGAACCTAAAAAGGAAGTAGAATGTCAGAGAATGTTAACTACATTGTTTTTGCCTATGCCTTGGCTAGTCACTGTGCTATCTGGTTCAGTAGGAGACAGTTATTTTTGACTGTTTGGCTTATATTGTGAGTTTGGTAAGAAGATAGCCGACTGGATAATAATAGTAATCTATAGTACTTAAAATTTAGGTAATGGGATTGTAAGTGATAGAGGTTTTTTGTTTTTGTTTTCAGATTTTTGCCATAGAGAGAAAGTGATAAATCACCTTTCAACCCCTTCTCCATTTTCCTCTTGGGATTTTGGGCACACACACAAAATTGTTTTTCAAGCCACCAGGTCTAGGACTCAAACCGTCAAGTTGACCATGTGGGATCCAGCACTTTAACCATCACATCAGCTGCTGGCCCAGTAGACTTATTTTTTTTTAATAGTTAGAAATGCAGTTCAAAACTGTTAATTAGGTGGTAAGGTATTAATGAACTATTAACTTCTCATTTGTTTTTCCATGGTAGTGTTTAAGAATTTCACTTAGGCTTTCAAGTAAAATTCTTTGTAGGGGCTATAACATTTTTACCAACTGCATTTATAAGCTTGTTAGAATCATCGGCAAAGGACTGTAGTAAAATATTAGTATTTTTCTATTTTTTCTTTACAGGGGATATGAAAGGTGAGGTCTATCCATTTGGCATAGTTGGGATGGCCAACAAAGGGGATTGCCTGCAGAAAGGAGAGAGTGTCAAGTTCCAGCTGTGTGTCCTAGGCCAGAATGCACAGACTATGGCCTATAACATCACACCCTTGCGTCGGGCCACAGTGGAGTGTGTGAAAGATCAGGTAAGTGCCAGCATCTCAGGATCTGAATTTGATCTTTTTATGAGTTGGTAACCAAGACTTTTGAAATTTTTTCAGGTAACCAGCATTTATTTGGTTTTTATTTCTACTTTACCCCTTTTCAATGATTTGAGGCAGTTTATAAAAACAAGAAGAAAACCACATAAAGAGAAAAAAGTGAAGGTATTAGCAAAGAAAAGTGGTATTATACATAATGGAGAAAATAAGTTTAGAGTGAAATATCCAGAATAGAAGGAAAGTTTTTGTATGCTTTCCCCAGAGTGTCTTTTGCAAATTACATAAAGAACGAGACCTGTGGGGAACCAGCAGTTAGCGTAATGGCTATGTCACTGGACTCCCACGTAGTTTACCGCGGTTCGCGTTCCGGACCCAGTGGCTTAAAATTCACGCCAGGCTCATGTGCGTGTGTGCCCAAGATCCCGAGAGGAGAATGAAGGAGAAGGGATTGCGGCATGACCATCCCCCCTGGGGGGTGATTTCTCGCTTTCTGTCTCTCTGTCTCTCTCTGTCTGGTGAGCACACGCGCCCTATAGCAAAAATCTCTCTCAAAAAAAAAAAAGAGACCTGTGTGTGGAAGTGTTCATTAAATAAGCTTAGGGCAAACAGAAGTAGTCCTAGTATTGAAATCTCAACTATTCTGAGTCCACAAAATATTTTTCAACATTAGTACAGTGAATAATACATTTCTTTCCTTTTTTAAAAAATTTTTATTTATTCATCCACATTTATTTTAATTTGACCAGAGAGAGAGAAAGCAAGCCACCAGGTCTAGGACTCAAACCATGGTCGGCCATGTGGGAGTGTGCAGTGCCTTAACCACCACACCACCCTCTGGTCCCCAGAATAATACATTTCTTATGGCTATTTTCTATAATATTATATCTCAGCTTAATAATCCTACAAGGGATCAAAATGCATGTGTGTGTTCAAGGAACAGCTTTCAGATCATTTTGCTTAATTCAGAAACAAAGTTCATGATATATGAAGGAACAGAGCAACCTTTGTATGTTTCATTTGAGCTCATGATGTTGTGAAAGGCTGTGACCTCAAAGATAGGTTTCTTGCCTCACAAATTATGCTGCACCAGCAGCTGTATTGGAGTATCAGAATTGATAACCTGTTTTGTAAATCCCCCATTTAGAATTAGCCATTGTGCCTCATTCAAAGTGAAGTGCTCTCCCCCCCCCATTATGACCCTTTTCCTAGCTACTATTATTATTGTTTTCAGTTTGGCTTCATTAACTATGAAGTAGGAGATAGCAAGAAGCTCTTTTTCCATGTGAAAGAAGTTCAAGACGGCATTGAGCTACAGGCAGGAGATGAGGTGGAGTTCTCAGTGATTCTTAATCAGCGCACTGGCAAGTGCAGCGCTTGTAATGTTTGGCGAGTCTGGTGAGTGTTGTTATTAGTGGTTAAATTAGTAACCAGCATAGACCATCTCTTAACTTTTGTCCTCTCTGCTTATCACATTAACTTTACATGGCTGTTTTTCCCCCCTCTTCTACCACTTTTTATTTTAAACCTCTAGTCTTCATTATCTCACCTTTAGTCTTAAAAATCCTTCCCAGTGAACAGTTGGGCACTATGCTGTGTTAGCACTATTTATACTAGATATCAAATTTAAAAAGATTATTTAGTCCCTAGATTAAAAATTATTCTTAGCTTACCCATTAAGCCAGTCTATGTTATATGCTGCTTAAAATTCAAATTTTTTATCACAGTATTTTTGTTGTTGTTTATTTCATGAGTGAGAGAAACAGCTCTTCTTACAGGGTCTTGATGCCGTGATCCACCCTCATCCAGCCCTGGATCGTGGGTATGCATGTGTCCGTCATATCCGGGAGGGTCTCTGGACTTGAACCAGTACCTTCCACGTTGAATTGGCTCACAGAGCATTACATTTTACCACTATGCTACCATCCAGCGCTTTTAAAAATCTAAACATTTTTACTATGCGAGGAGCTGGAATCTAAAACTCAATCTTCATGTTTTTCGCATCTGCTGCCTTGTTGTGTGCATCCGTGGAACTGGCCTCTCCAGTTTTAGTCAAGTCTAGGATTGACCCTCACTCAGATGATTTTTCTAGCACCTACGCAGTTGGACACTTGAGTTGGGGGTAAAAATACATACATACACACAAATTTGTCTGTCTCATCCTGGCTAGCTGTTCGGATGAGGCAAGAGTCTTCTCTCATTAAAAATGGACAGTTAGGTAGAGAAAACATTCCTCACTGAGTACTTTCTTGCTTCCCACCCAAGTGTTGCTTCTTCTTACGCCTTGACTTTGTTTCAGCGAGGGCCCCAAGGCTGTTGCAGCACCTCGACCTGATCGGTTGGTCAATCGCTTGAAGAACATCACCCTGGATGATGCCAGTGCTCCTCGCCTAATGGTTCTTCGTCAGCCAAGGGGACCAGATAACTCAATGGTATAAGCCTATACAAGTCTTGAGGGGAGGCCATCAGCAGACCTACATACTATTTGAGATCTATTTCCGTGTCAATGAGCTTAATGAACCTGAGCTTCAGTATTGCTTACAATTAGTTGAGACTCCCTACATGTTGATTCAGCCCCTAACATATGGCTGCTTACAGTAGGAAGGGTATTTCTTGCTTTTCCTGATAGTTTGAACATTTAGACCACAGGTGCAGAGGGCTTATTATATATATAGGTTTCCTCCTGTAGGAATGAATTGTTAGTAGTTAAGGTGATTTAAAACAGTGCTTTTGTGGTTCATTTTGTAATTGTAAGTGTCCTGTGATGTCATTCACCAACATCATTAACTTCAGTTTTCTTTTTTTACAGGGTTTTGGTGCAGAAAGAAAGATCCGTCAAGCTGGTGTCATTGACTAACCAATCTACAAAGCACATCATTAATCCACTATGATCAAGTTGGGGGGATTCTGGTGAAGGGTTCTGAATATCTCCCTCTTCATCCCTCCCAAAATCTGGAATACTTATTCTATTGAGCTATTACACCAGTTTTAACACCTTCCTCGTGTTATGTTTAAAAAATAAATAAATTTAAGAAAACCATTTTAAAATTATGCACAGTTGCAGCCTGGAAAACTTAAGGTGGCGCCTTCTAGTATCAATTTTAGGAGCTTTATTTGGTGCATTTAACGCAACTGGTAATTGCAAAATCCACTTCGCCTGTATAAGTGAAAAATATAGACTGTTACCTTGTTGGCCCTATGAAATTCTGCACTTGATATTTAGTGTATACTCTACCTTCATTACTTCTGGTAAGATGTTCTGCCTTAGCACTCAGTTGCATTCTTTTCCTTTTCTTTCCTGTTCATTATGCTTTAATTCTGAGGACCATATGAGGGTAGAATATATTACCTTATAAAAATTACAAAAAATTGTATAGGCAAACCATTTTCTTAAGTTGATGGCCAAATGTTTAAATGTTATTTTTTCATATCATTTATAATCTTGTCAAATCCACTTAAAAAGATTTGTTTAGATTTCAGTGAAAATTATTCCAGGGTAGTTTTTTTTTTTTTTTTTTTCCTGGGTTGGGGGGTAATAACTTTACTACAATTAGTATGTGTGGTGCAGAATTTCATGCAAATGAAGTGCAATAAGGTAAAGGTTGACAGTAGAGTTCAAAGAGAAACAGATACTTGAGTGAGACATTTAAATTATTATACATATACTTTGAAAAGGGCTTCTATTTAAAATTCATGTTGAAAATAAATAATAAAATAAAATAAAATTCATGTTGAGGCCCAAATAAAAGCTTAAGTAATTCGGGACCAGCAGTTAGCATAATGGCTATGTCACTGAGCTCCCATGTAGTCGACCGTGGTTCGAGTCCCAGACCCGGTGTCTTAAACTCATGCCGGGCGCTTGTGCGTGTGTGCCCAAGATCCCGAGAGGAAAATGGAGATTTAAAAAAAAAAAAGCTTAAGTAATTAACATAACATTGAATAGATACTTTCCTAAGTCTGCTGAAAAAAGGACAAAAATCTCCTATTTGTATATTTGCGAATAAAGTATTCCCTTGATGACTGAACTAAATACAGAAAAGAGGACCCCAGTGTGGTGGCTGAGGCTGCCTGAGCTCCTGGCCTAACCTAGACAGGCCAGGCACTCGTGGTGCTAGCTGACTCAGAGGCTAGGAAGGGAGATCATGAAGTGGTGAAACCCTGTCAAAGACACCTCCTCTCTGGTAAAATATTCATGCTAAAGTACAAGGACTGCATTATAGAAAGAAAAAGGGACAAATACTAAGTCTAAAACATGTTAGATTAAGGCTTAACTTATATTCAAAAAGAGTTGAGAGTGTTGCAAAAATTGATAATTTTTAAAAATAATTATTTTGTTTAATTTATTTTTTAATTTGACCAGAGAGGGACAGAGTAAGAATGAGAGAGAAAGAGAGAGAGAAAGCGAGAAAGAAAGCCACCGGGTCCAGGACTTGAACCATAGTTAGCCATGTGGGAGGCCAGCACTCTTAACCACCACACCACCTGTTGGCCCCAATAAGGTAATTTTATAAAAAGGATTTTGTATATGATAATTGGTTAAAATTTGAAGAAAGTATTATGAGTTTTCCTAAAAGTTGATTAAAGTGGAACAACAAGATGACATAATGATCACATCGCTGGACTCCCACAGAGTCAACCATGGTTTGAGTCCCGGACCTTGGGGGCTTAAAACTCATGCCAGGTGCTTGTGCATGCATGCCCAAAATCCTGAGGGGAGACTAGAGGAGGATTGTGGTGTGGCCTTACCTGTTAAGGGGGTGACTTCTCACTTTCTGTCTCTGTCTCTCTCTGTCTCTTTGGTGAGTGCATGAGCCCTACAGCAAAAATTCTCTCTAAAATAAAAGTTGATTAAAGTTATTTTCCCCCTGTATTAAAACAAGGTTTTTGAAGTATTGATTTATTCTCAGCAAAAAAAACGGTCATATTGCCGATATAAGGGTAGAATATATTACCTGATAGAAATTATAATAAATTGTATAGGCAAACCATTTTCTTAAGTTGATGGCCAAATGTTTAAATGTTACTTTTTCATATCATTTATAATCTCGTCACAGTCCACTTAACGGAGTTTGGTTAGATTTCAGTGAAAATTATCTTCCAGAGTAGTTTCCCCCTGCGGGCTGAGGGGTAATAACTTTACTACAACTAGTATGTGTGGTGCAGAATGTCAGGCAAATGAAGTGCCAGCAGTGTGACAATTTAAAAGCATTTAAACAAACAAAAAAAGGACGAATGCACAAAATTGCTGCTGCTTAGATCACTGCAGCTTCTAGGACCCAGTTTCTTTTACTGATTTAAAAACAAAACGGAAAAAAAATAAAAAAGTTGTGCCTGAAATGAATCTTGTTTTTTTTATAAGTAGCCGCCTGGTTCCTGTGTCCTGTAAAATACAGACACTTGACCCTTGGTGTAGCTTCTGTTCAACTTTATATCACGGGAACGGATTGGTCTGATTTCTTGGCTCTCATCTTAAATTGGCCATAGACAGGGTCCCTGGCCAGTGGACTGAATGCTTTGTCTAAGATGACAAGGGTCAGCTCAGGGGATGTGGGGGAGGGTGCTTTTATCTTCCCCGTTGTCGTTTGAGGTTTTGATCTCTGGGTTAAAAGGCCATTTATCTTTGTAAACACAAAACATTTTTGCTTTCTCCAGTTTTCTGTTAATGGCGAAAGAATGGAAGCGAATAAAGTTTTACTGATTTTTGAGACACTAGCACCTAGCGCTTTCATTATTAAAACGTCCCGTGTGGGAGGGGCGGGTCTGGGTGCGGCCTGCCGCGTGACTCCTACATCGGAGGCCCACGTGGCCGGGGCGGGGACTCAGGCGCCCTGGCGCCGACTGATTACGTAGCGGGCGGGGCCGGAAGTGCCGCTCCCTGGTGGGGGCTGTTCATGGCGGTTCCGGGGTCTCCAACATTTTTCCCGGTTGTAGTCCTAAATCCGTCCGAAGCGGAGGCAGCGGAGCTTGAGGTACAGCTCTAACCTGCGTAGCGTTTAGCTTGGGGCATTCAGGTTCATCGGTGAGGTGATGCCAGGAGCCGAGCGGAATCTACGAGCTGGAGACAAAGGCCATGGGCGGGGGTCCTTCGTTTTGGCCCTGCCTGAGAGAGCCTTGGGGCGGAAGAACGAGTGGGAAGGGGTCGCCATCAGGAGGCCGTCTTCCAGTCCCCCAGAGCTGAGAAGGTTCACGGGAAAAGTAGGAAGGAGGGATTCCTTTTACCTTAAGCTGAGGGCGGGGCCCAAGGACTACTGAAAAATAGACTGGCGTTGGGGGTAGCTGGAGGGATTTAATTTGGAAATCTAAGGCCCACACGAACCTCCAAGTGTTTTAATTCCGGAATCGCTTTCGGAACCAAGTGTAGGGTCACATGCGTGGAACTAATACATTTCAAACTCTGCTTTTGGGTGGTAATGATTATAGAAAGCTTTGAAGTACTGTAGATGTGGCTCCCCAACTAACCCCATTTGCTGCTTTCTCTCAGGTTCTTGCTGGTGTGAGATGACTGAGTACAAACTGGTGGTGGTTGGAGCAGGTGGTGTTGGGAAAAGCGCGCTGACGATCCAGCTAATCCAGAACCACTTTGTAGATGAATATGATCCCACCATAGAGGTGAGGCACAGTGGTAGCCTGCTTACCTGAGCCTAGCTCACTCATTGTCGTTTTACCCTTAACTCGTCTCCTTTATCTTTCATTTAAAGGAATAATAGAGAAAGTAATTTTGGGTACTGTATTCAGTAATGCAATAAGTAAAGCTTCCATATTTGTAAAGAAGCATTCATTCTTACCAGCTAATGAAGATTTTTTTTTTAATTCACCATTTTTAGCTGTTCTGTAATCTAGCAAACTCTGTGTTAAACACAGTCTCTTCATCTGTGACATTTTATTAAATACTAGAAAAACTGTAGAAGAATAATAGGAGAGGCCAGCAGATGGCTTAATGGTTATGTTGCTGGACTCCCCTTGTAGTCTACTGCGATTCCAGTCCCAGACCCAGCTTAAAACCCAAAATCTGAGAGAGGAAGGATTGCAGAGTGGCTATCCCCCTTCCCAGGGGGCTGATTTCTCACTTCCTGTCTCTGTCCATCTCTTCATTGCTTCTCAGCTAGTGGAAGCTGCTGAGACTGAATTAAAATATAATGAACTTGAGATTTTATTATGCTTAGGACTTCGATTTCTATTGGCTTATTTGGTTATGTGATATTGGGCAACTCACTTAATTTCTCATGAGTCTTATTTTCCTTATCCTGTTAAATTACCATAAATTTATCCTGCTTCTATCACATAGGGATATTGTGCACAATTAAATGTTTACATGTGAGTGGTAAAGCACTGCACAGTACGTACTTAATAATTCTAGTGCTATCATGGGAGTTCACATTACAGATGATCAGAATGGTTCGTAATTTTGGGGGCCAGCAGTGTCATGGGGAGTAAGGCACTGGACTCCCACATGGCTGACTGTGAGAGTCTCAGACCACAGGTCACACCAGGCACCTGTGTATGTTTGTGCCAAAATTCCAAGAGAAGAATGAAGGAGAAGGGGTTGCGGCATGGCCATCCTGGGGGATGATTTCTCACTCACTCAGTCTCCTCTTTGTAAAGTGCATGTACCCTATGATAAAATAACCTATAAAAATAAATGTGCCTAGTTGGTGGGTTTCTGGTTAATAAAGGTATCATTTAAAAAACTAAAAAGGTTTTATAATTTTCTTTTTTATTATTTTAAATAAGAGATTTTTGCTATAGGGTCTGTGCACTTGCCAGGAGAGCGACAGAAAGGGAGAAGTCATCCCCTTTGGGGGTATGGCCACACCACAGTCCCTTCTCCTTCTCCATTCTGCTCTCAGGATTTGGGGAACACATACACAATGTGCCTGGCATGAGTTTGAAGTCACCAGATCCAGGACTCAAACTGGTCAGCCATGTGGGAGTCCAGGATGTAACTACTACGCCATCTGCTGGTCTATGTAATTTTCAATTTAGAAATGTCTGACTCTGGAGATTTTTTTTTTTTTTTTTTTAATGAGAATTTTTTGCTGTAGGGCGAGTGCACTCGCCAGAAAGAGACAGAAAGCGAGAAATCACCCCCCAGGGGGGATGGCCATGCCTCAGTCTCTTCTCCTCCATTCTCCTCTTGGGATCTTGAGCATGCACACACACGCACCCGGCATGAGTTTAAGCCACTGGGTCTGGGACTCGAACCACAGTCGACTATGTGGGAGTCCAGTGACATAGCCATTACGCTAACTGCTGATCCCCTCTGGAGATTATTTTCATTCACACTGTGGCCTCCCTACCACCTGGCTACTAAGTGTTTAGATAATGCAAATTAATTCCAGTATGGCCACAAGGTTTTTTTTGTTTCGTTTTCCTTTTTCTTTTTTGGGAGTCCAGTGACATATAGGGCGCGTGTGCTCGCCAGAAAGAGAGAGAAACAGAGAGACAGAAAGCGAGAAATCACTCCCTAGGGGGAATGGCCATGCCGCAATCCCTTCTCCATTCTCCTCTCAGGATCTCGGGCACTCACGCACAGGCACCCGGCGTGAGTTTAAGCCACCGGGTCCGAGACTCGAACCATGGTCAACTATGTGGGAGTCCAGCGACATAGCCATTACGCCAACTGCTGGTCCCCACAAGGTTTTTTTTTTTTAAAGAGGTTCTTGCCATAGGGTACATAATGCTCACCTGAGAGAGACAGGGATAGTGAGAGGGAAAGTGGTCAATCACCACCCCCCACCCCCCCGGGGCAGATAGCCACATTGCAGTCTCTTCTCTTCCATTCTCTTCCTGGGATCTTAGACACGGATACACACACACACTGGTGTGATTTTCCCCTAGTCCAGGACACGAACTGCAGTCGGCCATGTAGGAATACAGCCATGGAACTGGTACGCCATCTGCTGGCCCCAGATGTAGTCACTATTAAAAATCCATTGCTGGGCCCAGCATGAAGCATAGCGGTTAAGGTACTGGACTCACACATGTTTGACTACAGTTCAAGTCCTGGAACTGGCAGCTTGAAAATCACACTGGGTGTGTGTATGTGTACCCAAAATTCCAGGAGCAGAATGGAGGAGAAGGGATTTGTATTGTGGTACAAATCCATTCCTCCTCGAGGATGATTTGTCACTTTCCCTCTCACGGTCTGTCTGTCTCAGGCAAGTGCATGTATCCCTATGGCAAAAAAGAAAACCCCCAAAAAAGCCATTGCTAATCCTTGGTGGAAATCAAGTAAAATAATGTAAATCTTATATCCACAGTTTTGTGCCCTTTTATATTTATATATGCTCATATAACTGCCACCAACGTAAGATTATAAAACATTTCTTGGGACCAGCAGATGGTATAACGCTTATGTCACTGGCCTCCCAGTAGTCGATCGTGATTCGAGTCCTAGAGTTGGCGGCTTAAAACTCATGTGGGGCATATGTGTGTGCATGCCTAAAATCCCAAGAAAAGAATGGAGAAGGAATTGCAGTGTGGCCATCCCCCCTGTGAGGTGATTTCTCATTTTCTATCTTTCTCTGTCTCTCCAGAGAGTACACATGCCATAGCAAAAATCTCTCTTTTAAAAAATAAAAAGAATATAAAACATTTATACAAGAGAGTTTCCCCAAGTGCAATGATGATGTTATTAAAATACGTAGACATTTTTGCCTTAAAGCCAAACTGGGAATTTTTTTTTTGTATGATCTATACATATCTGTCTTCCTGAGGAGTTACTAAACTATACTGTGTTTGGAACCTTTAGGAATTTAAGTCAGGAATATTTCCCAAAAGTAAAATCTGCTGCAATGAGGGATGGTATTATAATCTTCCTGAGACGAAAGGTATTCGAGGGGGCTGGCAGAGGGCATGATGGCTAGGGGCACTGGACTCTCACATAGCCGACGGCAGTTTGGGTCCCAGATCTGGCGGCTTTCTCTCTCTCTCTCTCTCTCTCTCTCTCTCTCTCTCATTCTCACTGTCCCTCTCTGGACAAATTAAACAGTAAATAAATAAAATTTAATAAAATAATTCTTTTTTAAAAAGTATTTGTTAAATTATATTTCATTATAAACACAAATGACTGTATCCGGAGCAGGTTAATTGGTGGAGGTGTATTTAGAATTTTGAAAGTAAATAACTCAGTCCAGTTCATAGCTTAGTAAAATATTTGTGAATGTAATGTCCTGAGTGCAGTAGAACTGTCATTTGAATTATGATTTCTTTTTCACATCTTTTCCAGGAACAGGATTATCACAATTTCTTCTCTGTGGGCATATAGGATGTAGGACTTCTTTTTTAGGATGATATTAAGTTTTTACTGTTCATGATTATGTGTTAATAGTTAGTGGGACCAACCAGTTAGTTAGAAATAGATTAGTTAGTAGCTTATTTAGCTCTTAGAATAATATTGCACTGAATAATTAGCTTACTTAACTTTTGCAATAATACTGCATTCCCTGTGATTTTTAATAAAAATTGAATCTCCCTCTCTTCCTGCCCTCCACCTTCCACTAGGATTCTTATCGAAAACAGGTGGTTATAGATGGTGAAACCTGTCTGTTGGACATACTGGATACAGCTGGACAAGAGGAGTACAGTGCCATGAGAGACCAATACATGAGGACAGGCGAAGGCTTCCTCTGTGTATTTGCTATCAATAATAGCAAGTCATTTGCAGATATTAATCTCTACAGGTACTTAGGAGTGTTATTTTTTATGGAAGGCTATCCGTAAGTGTGTTCTGAAGCTTTCTGGTGGAAAACTGCCATACTAAGGAAGATACAGCTTTTTAGTTATGAAAGGAGTTTATTTGACACTGAGAATATGTCACTACTAAAATAAAATACTGGAATATTTTATATACTGCCTCCCTACTGTGTGATAATACATAAATGAAGCTTGCTACTGAAATCAGTTCAGAACTAAAGGTATTGTAGAGAGAGGTCACAAAGGAATTTTCAGGGAGGACACCTGAAAAATATCTTCAGCAAGTAATAGAAAAGGTAGAAAAAACAAATGGGGAGTAGATGAGGTGGTCTTTCTCCACCGTAAAGTGTCAAAGCTGATTGGACCACAGAGAATTTTAGTACAACATTCTTATTTTATAGAATCAGAAATAGAGTTCAGTAGGTTGATTGTTATATTGCTAGAGTCAGCATTGTTAGCAGTAGAGCTGGGACCAAAACCTAGGGCTCCTTTTTCTGAGCACAGTGTTCTTCAGGTAGAATAATGTAATAATTAAGAATATAGATTCTGCCTGCACATTAAAAGTTGGTTCCATCATTTATTAGGTTCCTTAGTGACATTAGTGACCAAGTGCTCAGTAGCCACGTGTGACTAGTGGCTGTTGTGTTGGACAGTGCAGATGTAGACCATTCATACCATAGCATAACGTTCTGTTGGAAGTGTTAGTCAGGAGACTCTAGAGGAATGATTTCCAGTTGTGCAGTGTGGTATGCCTGACAGGTCAGTGAAGCGGGTGCTGTCAATTGGAAGTTCCACATCCTTCATCTCCCCTTTTTTAAAGTTTTTGTGGTTTTTGTGTCATATCTTGGACTTCTACCTATAATTTTGTTTAAAAAAAAATTTTGGACACCACCATCCATCATGGAAAATAGATACTGTCTTTCATCAAATACCATTACTCCCAAGTGAACTTTAGATTTAGAGGCAGTGACCTTTACTTTTTATTCTTCAGACTTTAATCTAGAGTAGGATTTTTCAGTTGCTGTTGAAATGCAGAGCCAAGGTCTTTGGTGAATCCAGGAGCCTTACTAGGGCATGTGTCAGGATAGAATAGCCATCAGCTTCCATGATGAAGTGAAGTGGTTCTTAAGGCTTCTTTGTGGCTGCTGCATCAAGTCTAAACAAGTCTCCTTTGGATACAAGGTCTCCATAAGTGGTAAGGGAAAAAAAATGAAAACTCAGAACTAGAAAGTAACAGATCTATATAAAATTTACTAGTTCCCTTTTGCCCAAGCTATTTACTCCTTTCTGAACGTTTGTTTTTCTTATGCTCTGATAACATTCTCCTTTTTTTAGGGAGCAGATTAAGCGAGTAAAAGACTCAGATGATGTACCTATGGTGCTTGTAGGAAATAAGTGTGATTTACCAACAAGAACAGTTGATACAAAACAAGCCCACGAACTGGCCAAGAGTTATGGGATTCCATTCATTGAAACTTCAGCCAAGACCAGACAGGTACAGTAGGACTTTCAGCCTTGTTATATTTGTTTAAGGTGGAGATGCTTGGGACCAGCTCTGTGGCTTGGTAGTTAAGGCAGCCAGATCCCATGTGTGAACTATATGGTTTGAATCCCGGGCTCAATGGCTTGGAAAATGCCGGCGAAAATAATTTTTGTATGCCAAAAATTCCAGTAAGATAGAGAAATGGAGGAGAAGGGATTGTGGCATGGCCTCTCTCTAGCAAGCACAAGCACTTTCTAGCAAATTAAAAACAAAAAGGCAAAGAAGTTTGATTGATTGACTTTGATACTGATATGGTCCTCATTCTTCATTATGACTCTTAAATAATATTCTAGATTTTTTTTTTCCTTTGGTTTAAATCCTTTATAAAGTGTGACATTACTCCTATTTTAATAGACACAATATTGCTAGTAAACAAAACCCTTGATGGGGACCAGCAGTTAGCATAATGGCTATGTCGCTTGACTCCCACATAGTTGACCGCGGTTCAAGTCCTGGACCTGGTGGCTTAAACTCGCGCCGGGTGCGTGTGCGTGCGTGCCCAAGATCCCAAGAGGAGAATAGAGGAGAAGGGATTGCGGCGTGGCCATCCCCCCGGGGGGGTGATTTCTTGCTTTCTGTCTTTCTGTCTCTGGCGAACGCACACGCCCTATAGCAGAAAACTCTTAAAAAAAACCCTTGATGAAAAATATCTATAAACATTAGTCCTGTCTTTATTAATACCAGCCACTGAAAGGAATCTGGTAATTTTATTTTGTATGTCCTACATTACTCTTTGCCCTTAGCTTTGACTTTTTTCCCCCCCAAAATGTGCCATTTGCATATCAGTCTGTTCATATGATTAATAGGAATACTAAACGTAGCATCCTCTTTCTAAATCATCCTGTTTTGTCAGCTCTTAACTTAGTAATTGTGATTTTAAATTCACATAAGTACAAATGAGAGAGGAGAGCTTAGCAGTTGGATTTGTGTCGGTTGAGCTGTCTTTATCATCTTGATCATTCCTTTCCTCCCTCTGCCATAGGGTGTGGAAGATGCCTTTTACACACTGGTAAGAGAAATTCGCCAGTACCGAATGAAAAAACTCAACAGCAGTGATGATGGGACTCAAGGTTGTATGGGGTTGCCATGTGTGGTAATGTAATAAGGTGAGTTTATGGCTTCTTCACATAATTTTAAATCTTACTATTTAGCATCAGGCAATTCAAATGCATGCTAGTGGTTTTTGTCTTTATGTTACTATTGATATTTAACTGAGAGTTCCCATGTACTTATAGTTATAAAACACTTCTTTATGAAAGCATTTTCTGAAAGTACTGTTAAACTATTTTAAAAACAATTGTATATACATCCTTATAATATTAGAAATTAGAAGATACTGGAGCCAGCAGATGGCATAGTGGTTGTTACGTTGCTGGACTTCCCACATGGCCAACCATGGTTTAAGTCCTGGATCTAGTGGCTTGAAAATTACATTGGGTATGTGTCCGTGCATGCTCAAGATCTCTGGAGGAGAATACAGATGGGATTGTGGTGTGGTCATCCCCTCTGGGGAGTGAGTTCTCACTTTCCCTCTCACTGTCTCTGATCTTAATCCAGCAAGCACATGCACCCTTTGACAAAAAACTCAAAGAAAAAAAAAAAAAAGAAAGAAATTGGAAGACATTATTTATGAAGTTCACGTATACCATATACTTGACACTGAACAAACATTTGTAGAATCACTACATTGAAAATAAATGATGATAGTATGTGTTCTTTTCTTGTAGATACAAAGTTCTGTCATCAGAAAAGAGCCACTTTCAAGGTAGACCAGTTTGGAAATGTATTAACACTTACTCTGATTTTTTAAAACTTTTCTTATACTTCCCATGTGCCACTTATACAAATTCCATCTTTATTTCAGCTGCACTGACACCCTGGTCCTGACTTCCTGGAGGAGAAGTATTCCTGTTGCTATCTTCAGTCTCACAGAGAAGCTTCTGCTACTTCCCCAACTCTCAGTAGATAGTACAGTATTCTCTATTTGAGAAGTTTGCAGAATAACTACCTCCTCGCTCGGTTGTCTGACCAGAGAAATGCACCTCTTAGTACTCCCCAGTATTTTTCCACTCTTGGTTCTTCCCAGTACATAGAAACACGCCTCTGCCACCCCAGGTTTTTCATCTGAAAAGTAATTCATGCTCTGAAACAGAGAACCAAACTGTAGACATGAAGTTCTGTTAAAAACAGTGTCTTGAGCTCTAAAGTAGTAACTGCTGGTGATTTTTTTTTTTTTTTTTAAACTATTGAACTTGGAACTATATTAGTTTTTGGAGAAATGTCATAAATTACTGTTTTGCTGAGAATATAGTTAATATTGCTGTTTGGTTTGTTTGTAATGTTACCGGCCTATGGTCTATAAATTGGCATCTGCTCTGAATTCATAAATACTAAAGTGAATACTGACTTTTGAGTCGATCCTAGTCTTCTCAACTTTTCCTGTAATTAAATCCAATTTTCACAACAAAGTGCCTTTTTTCTAGAAGTGGTTTGTAGACTTTCTTTACATATTCTTTAGTGGAATAGATGTCTCAAAAAAACATTATACATGAAAATGAATGTCTTGAGATAGTGTATGATTTATCTACTTTGAGGGAAGAACATACCTATATGATAGCAGATGCCATCTCATCCATGTATGACGTTGGTTTTCCAGAAGTCTATTTTGGGGATCTCCCAGAGAAAGTTGAAACTGGAAACAATTATGAGTAATTCCACTTAATTTTTACCTAATCTCCACTTTTTTGTTTTTGGTAGGTTACTACCTATAAAATACATGCAATGTGTTTCTTCTAGATTACTGATAATCTAATAATGTTCAATGAACTTCCATTACTATTCAAATTTGGCTCGTATCAGAAAGTTCTACATTTGCAGGTGTTTAAATGTTATAAAGCTTTGGTTGCTGTATTATTTAATAGCTGTGATCAGCAGTGTTCAAACCTCAATGTAGTATATTAACAGACAAATTACATTTTCACTGCATATTATGGTATCTTAATGATGTATGTGATTATCCTCAATCTGCTTCTCAACCCACTCTGCCCATCCCCCACAGTAATAGGGGCTTTATTAATTATTTCATTTGAGTAAAGCATGGTGCTAATAGATTAGGATCACAGTTCTAAAACTTGAATGAGCCAGTTGGCATCATGGAAGTAGAAATTCTGCCACATTTGCTCATTGCACCAGTAGGTTTGCTGGATGCCTGCAGTTAGCCCTGCAAGGAAAGAAGAGGTCCGTTAGCACAAATTCTTTACCTGACTAGAAAATCTTGGTAACCTTGGGTCACTGAGAAGTCTTTATGAATAAAGTTTTCAATGTGGAAACTCTAAGCTGTTTTTTTTTGTTGTTGTTGTTTTTTTTTTTTAACTTGAGATTAGGATGTCTTGGATCAAAAGTTTTTTTTTTTATTTTTATTCATAATAATTATTTGAAGGTTTTACGACAATGTTAAGTTAGTCTGTGTATACCACATAACAAAAGCTGATGAGTTTGTTCAAAACAAGTAGTAGCCATTAGATGGAAATTGCTGTTTGAGACAGGAATGGAAAATGTAACTGATAAGAGGATTTGGAGGCTTGGCATCTCCATTTACAAATAATACCCTGGTAATGCTAATGAAAAATAGAGTTGAGTTTCTTTTTGATAATAGACCAATTCTAAAATGACCACTTTCTGTTCTGGTCTTCTAATATCTAAATACTTACTGAGCTCTTTTATCTTTTAATATGAATTTTCATTTATTAAACTCCATATTACCTTGAATGAATTCAGAAGAAGAGGAAAAAGTATGCACTGTGCCAAGTGTAATAAACCGAGTCGTCCTCCTTTGTGCCAATTGTGCATGCTTTGCTGATACTACCATCATCTATAAATGGAAACTCTCTGCTTCTTTGTTTTGCTCCTTTTGGAGCTCCCTGTAGTTTCCCTGAGACGAGACCGGGATTTGTCATCTCAGTCCTGCTCTTTTTTCTTTTTTTTTTTTTTTTTTAAGTGTCTATGTAACTGGCAGTGTAACTCTTTTTCTAAAAATGTCTATTAAATTTAATGTCAAATTAGAAAGATTCTCCCCCATCTTGGGCTCTTGTGCCCATCACCCTGATAGATGTGTACTTTACAGTTTTCTCAAGTATATTCTAAGCACAGAAGTATCTCAGTGGGGCCCCAATTTAAACTCAAAAATGTCTTTTTAATAGTTTCTGAAGTTACACTTAGGTATGAATTTTGGCGCAGTAGTGCTACAACCTTATAGATAAAAGCTGAATAACATCAGTTTGTGTGGTATGAAAGGTGGTTTTTAGAATCTGTTTGTGATTGCTGAAAATAATTCTAATTTACCTCAAAATATGAAAATCTCTTTCCCCAAGTTAAGTGCCTGACCAGCTGTCATAAATTATATACCCCTTTCTGTGTTTTTTTTTTTAAGGTTACACATTCAAGAGTGTAAAAGTTAGGATGTTCTGTGTAAAGGCTAGCATGCCTAATCTGTAAATCTGTTAAATGCTGTTTGCTCCAGCAGGTTACTGTAGAATATTTCTTGGTAATATCCTATCATACTTATTGCAGTTTTTACATTAGCAGTGTAATAAGTAAAATTAATCTCAGTTTTATTTTAGCAAGCCCCATGTTTAGTTTTTCATCATCCTTTAAACTGCTGTGAATTTTTTGTCATGACTTGAAAGCAAAGATAGACAAGACACTTTAAAGAAGTATTTTCCCCATTCCAGAATTTGTGAGCTTCTTCTTATTTTGTTTCGTTATTTTCAGTCATGAACTCTTAAGCTGGCAGCTACAACCAAGAACCAAAAAATGGTGCATTCTACTTCTTGTATTTCATCTCTGCTAAGAAATTATAAGGATACTTAACTAGGGCAAATATTTTATTTGAATGGACAGAAGACTATAATTCTTGTACATTATTTGTCATCTTTGCTGTTTCTTTAAGCAATCTAATATGCCACAAAATTATTTTAAGGTATTTGTTTTGGTAAGAATTGGTAAAAAGTATGCTCATTATCAGAGTAACTGTAGATGTATTTCACAATAAAACTGGTGATTTTTAAAAGCATGAATACTGATTTGAGAAACAATTGTATAAACTACTTGGAGGGGAGAAGGGTGTCCATGGAAATTGTATGACTTTTATATCTCTGTGCCATCAAATGTAGTAATAAATACCAATTGTGCAGTTCTGCTGTTTAAACGGGAACTATTGGCCTCCTTGGCCCTAAATGAAAGGGCTGGTATTATAAGTTGATTATTTTACTAATTTTTAAAAATTTGGTTGATGAATGTTTTTCTTTTAAATAATGTTTTAAGAAAATAAAAACTGGAAGTTCTTGACTTAGTTGTCATTTTTTTCCCACTGAAGTGCCTTTATAGAAAGCTGGTACTCAGATTTGGGGGTGTGACATTTAGGCAGTGTTGGGAGATCTGAGTTCTTTATCATACCTCAGTGTAATATGTCTAGGAGCCTACTTTATTACTTTAGGATTGACTCATACTGTTTATCAGTCTTGTAATATGAAGCAACTAAAACTACCATTGGAAAGCATTTGTTCTATTTTTACATTGTTGCACAATCTAAAAATCTTGGTATAATTCTAAGAGCATTGGTATAGGAGCCAGAGAACTTGATTTCTAACTATAATTTCACTACACTGGCCTACAGTTTGTGTTTGCAATATAGGAGAGTTGAATAGGGATCTCTTGGATTTCTCAACCCTAAGTAAGGAGATGAAGTTATAAAAGAATGATTTTTAGACCTAGGTTTTTCCACCACCACTGGAATACTGTGATTATAGGAATCTTGGTTTATTCTGCAGAAAACCAAAGACTTAGTACTTTTTCTTTTTCCTTAAAAAGGAGGAGAATTGTTATTAATACTTAACTAAACTATAAGCACACATGTGCTGGTGATCCAGGCCTAGGTAGAGTTGGAGATAGATCATGATGTCAAGACCCTATGGGGGTTGCTGTCTGTCTTCTCTTGCTCATGGGAGAAATTAACTTTTTTCTCATTGTTAGAAAAATATTTGACTGGGGCCAGCAAGTGGCACCGTGGTTAAAGCATTGGACTTCCACATGATTGGCCACAGTTCAAGTCCTAGACGTGGCAACTTGATTCTCATTTTCTCTCTCTGTCTTTGCCTCTCTGGTGAGCACATGAGTCTTGTTGCAAACTAAAAATAATACTAAGATTAAATAAGTCTATGAAACTATTTGACAGAATTATGCTTGAAAGGAAGAAATTTTAAGTGACAAAATATTTCTCCAGATAGGACTTAAAATGAATATAAATGTTTTCAATGTAAAATGTTCATGAGAAAGAAACAGAATTATGGACTTTATCTCTTAGTAAGATAGATTTTCCCATAAACTTAGGCCTCATATCACATATTTTGTTCTGCTCATACTTCACCCTCCAATAACAGAAAAGAGGATTTTTTCTTCTAATAAGTAAATGTACTACAATAAATGTAAAGTGCTTGAATCATCATGAAACCATCAAACCCCACCTCACTGTCCCAGTTTGTGGAAAACTTGTCTTCTACAGAACTGTTACCGGTGCCAAAAATGATGGAGACCACTGTTACACTGCATTAGTTTTTTATTGCCATTTTTAATTGACACAGTAATTGTACCTAATTATGGAGTACTCTGTGATTTTTCAATACATGAGTACAATGGGTAATGGTCAAATCAGGATAATTAGCTTATGCATCACTTCAAACATTATATTGGGAACACTCAAAATTCTGCCTATTTGGTCCTACCCACTCTTCTCAAGCTCTTATTAACCACTGTTGTATGTTCTCCTTGTATGAGGACTTTTTCATTTCCATGTATAATAAGTGAGAACATGCAGTATATCTCTGTGCCTGGGTTATATCACTTCACATAATGTCTTCCAGGCTCATTCACATTGCCTCAAAAGATTTCATTCTTTTTTTAGACTGAATATTATTCCTTTGTATATGTATATCATATTTTCTTTATCCATTCATTCTTTAAATTTTTATTATTACTATTTTTAGTTTTGCTGCAGGGTCTCTCACTGGAGAGAGGCAAGAGGGGGGAAGTGAAAGTGCCTTCCACTTGGGATGATGTGTTGTAATTCCTTATCCTTTATTTTCCTCTTGGGATTTTTAAGCACACACATACATGTGCCCAGCACGTTTTTCAAACCGCCAGGTCCAGGGCTCAAGTCATGTAGTTGGTCATGTGGAATCCAGCTGCCTTAACCACCATGCTATTGACTGGCCCCTTGTGTATTTATTTATTTTTATTGCCAGGTCCAGGACTCGAACCATGTAGTCAGTCATGGGCAATCTAGCTTGCTATTGGATGACCCCTTGTTTATTTTATTGCCAGAGGGTACATGTGCTTACCAGGGAGAAAGAAACCTTACCCCCACCCCCCATGGAGCATGATCATGCCACAATCCTTTTTACTTCATTTCTCCTTCCTGTCTGGATTTGGGTCATGTAAACACATATGCCCAACACTTTTTTTTCAGAGCCTCGAGGGCCAGGATTTGAATTGCAGTCAGCCATGTGGTATCTAGCTCCTAGTGCACTGTGCTTAAAATCACTGCACTTTGGGGCCAGCCCCATCATTTCATGTATTGATGGACATTTAGGTTGATTTCCTAGTTTGGTGGTTGTGAATAGAACTGCAATAAACATGGGAGAGGAGATACTTTTTTGATATACTGATTCCCTTCCTTTGTATGTGTACCTAGTAGTGGGGTCACTGGATCTTTTTTTTTTTTTTTTTTTTTTTTTGAGGGTTTTTT